TTCCAGCCTCAAGCGAGGCTCCAGCCCTGTGCACAAGTGCAGCTGCATCATCTCCAGCAGTAAAGATGCAGAGGGATGAGCACAGCGAGGACCATGCTTTTACTGGACCACTGTGATTGACTTTTATTCCATGAGGGTTGTTTCTACAAGCTCGCCATCATGCAGTAAACTTGACCTTGTTGTCCCTACCTGTTGGAATTTTCCTGTTTCAAAGCAGAAGCCACCTGCCCCCTCTCTCCAGATGCCTTGTTTAATGTTCAACAGGGTTGTTGCAGTAGCAGCCACCTGACCATCTACTGTAATAGGAAAAAGTTCTAATGTTACAGATAAAGCAGCCATATAGATAAGGCACAGGCGTGTTTGGTGGATTCCCTTTCTCCTGTGCAGCGGGCGTTAACAGATAGGTTTCAGGCTGCACACCACTCCCTTTAGGCCTTTTCTCTGAACAGCACAGGGAAACTATGCTCCAGTTGCCTGCTGATGAGCTCTATCTCCTGTGAGCTGTTCACCCATGGGGTAGTGGTCCCCTTGACATCCATGCTTGATCCAGCATGCATCCCTCTTTGGCACCTGGGTGCCTTGTAATTTGCTTGCCTTGTGATCCTGCACATCTTCTGTCACGGATTTACCTGCAGAGGTTCCTCAGGAAAGTGCTGTGGGACCCAGGCAATGTCTTTTGATGCAGACCATAGATTTATTGGTGGTACATCAGGAAGGCAGTGTTCTCCTCCTCGGTCAGGCTGCCCTTGCTGTAGCTCTCTGGTGTAGCTCTGGTCTCCTTGAACATTATGCTCTTCTCTCTTGTTTTAGGGCTGTCTGTGATATTATTCCTGCCTGGCTTCTCAGGGCAAGTGAAGATGGGATCAATCTGGCTTAAGGTTAAATCCCCAGCTAAGCAGTCTCCTCAGAAGAGCAGCAGCCGTGAAGAGGGCTCTTGTGCTGAATATTGCCTGCTGCTGTCAGTGGGATTTCAGTGCCACAGCAAACCTGAGGCTATGAACAAATGGGTGAAAAAAGGTTTCTTTTTAGAACTGGAACCGTGATAAATATGTGGGGTTTGTGCAGGGTCTGCTTGCTGTACGTTTTTGAAATGCAAAGTGCATGTTTGTTAACATACATCTCCAAAGGTCAGCATACCCTAAGAAATAAATGTGCTGGCCTTTTGGAAAGCAGGTGAAGTTTCAGATGTGTGACAGCTACTTGCAGTTGAGAACATGGACCCCCATAACCCAAATCTGTTTCAGCACTTCCTATGTGACACCATAAGGATGCAAATGGAAATGTTGCCTTGCCAAAAGGATTTCTTTTGCAGGTTTCAGTGAGGAGCCCTACACCATCCTTAATCCTTCAGCTGAGCTTTTTCTTCCATTTTCTTGGCTTATTTCGTATTTGCTGTCCTTCATACATTTGAGGGACTCATGCTGCAAGCATCATGTTTGCAGTTGGTGAGAATAGGGATGTAAACTGGAAAATTCTGGAATGAAAAGAAGCAAAATACTGGATGGGACCTCAGGACATGACAAACCCAATGGTTTTGTGTTCCGTTTGATGATGTAGCCAGCCTGCTGGCATGCTTACAGCACTCAGGGTTCAAAGTATTTGAGAACCTTATATTTTTTAATCCTTTTAGCTTCCTGTGAGGTGGAGGAATACTATTACTCTCTCTGAGGCAGGGAAGTGAGGCATAAAGAGAAGAAATTACTTGCTTAAAGCTTTGTAGGAATCTCATAGCTGAAATGAAGAGTCGGTGTAGCTTTTAGCTGCCTGTCACGGCATCGGGCACCCTTGGGTAAGGTGACGTTTCTGCCATGAGCTTGGCTGTCATTATCCCACTGACGGTCTTTGGGGCAGGCATACAGACAGGAGGGGTTGGGAGAAGTGGCAGAGGAGCTGAAATGTGATCCAAACTATGGAAGCTGAGCTGCAAATTAGGGCAATTCAAAGGCACAAACATCCTGTTGAGCTTGCCGAGTCCCCGCCAGAACATAATGAGTAAAGCACGCGCCCAAGCTCAGCTTCAGGCGTGTTTCAGTGGGAAAGCTCTGCCTCTGCTGCCTTGGGTTATGTCAGGTTTTATTCCTGGTGGCAACCGGCAGGTGTTCATGTGAGGGGGAACGGCATTATAAATAAATTATCCATTCATTTCCTTCTGGGGATTTTCCTATTGTTTCGCCACAATATGCTTTCCTGTTTTCAAAAAAACTCCAAAACAAAACAAAGCCAAACCCTGGCCCCAAGTTCCTCTCTGGCAGGATGGACCCAAAGCTGTGTTTGAAGTGGGTGTCTGTGTCATTGCTCTTCTGGCAGTAGTGCTGCTGGCACTGTCACTCCCACCTCGGTCCCCTGTTCTTTCAGTGTGGGAAGTACCTGCCCGGGAGCTGTGCTGGAGGCAATCGCATCCTGCTGTGCTCTGTCTTTACACAGGTCTTTTCTCCAGCGGGTCAGTGTGGGAGGAAGGCTGGTCCTGCACAGGGAGTGGAACGCAGGGGTTTCTTGTGATAGCAGAGAGGAGAACAAAAGTCCTCTTCCCTCCTTCCTCCTCCTGGCCAACACGCTGAGGCCAGGGCACTCACTTTCACAGGGAAGTTGTTTTAAGCATTTTAGAAGAATAATGCAGCTCAATGGATGGCTTCTCTACATGGTGAGGCTGTTGCCCAGCAGCGCCCATCGGTAGCTTTGCTTAAGCCACGTCCCGGCTGGACAGCACAAAGGCTCTGTGAATCCAGATGTAAAACAGGGAGTCGGGGTGGGGAAGTGTGGCCAGGAGAGGATTCACCGCTTGCCTCTCAGGGTCACTCACCACTGCTATGTGCTGGCTGAGTTCATGCCGTCATGCCTCTCTCTGCTAAGGAAACCCCAAAGCCTATTTCCTCTGCAGCAGCATCATTTGTCGGGAACATTTCCAGGCAGACACATGGAGCAGCACCCACATGAGCTGCGGGTGGGTCTGTGCTGAGAGCAGCCATGTTCTGCGTTTTAGCTCTTCAGAAGGCAAGAAATGAGATTTCTCCTGGGAATACCCAAGATAAATACTCACACCTCATGTAAGCATGGCCAAGGCTGACCCCACAGCACCTCCTGCACCTGGAGAGCATGGGGGGAAGCCTGGCCAGCAACACTGCTGTGAGTGGAGGTGCTATGCTGGGCTGGGGGACTGCCCTGAGAGGATTTAACAGCCAAGGGGATCTTCTCTGCTCTCTGTCTCCCCCAGGACTCTGCCTTCATGGCATGGAAATAGCAAACATCCCACTGGTGTGAGAACAAAGATGTATTTATGTACATCACTGTACAACAGGGTTAACCATTACCTTGTGCTATGCAGCGATTGTCACGTGCAGTGTGAATGAAGAGATACAAAAGACCTTTTATTTAGCCACTGTGTTTGCCTGTCACAATTTAGGGTTGCCTTTTTTATCTTGATGTAAACAGGAGCTTTTTCTGCCTCTGTAGCTCTGACTCCTCTTGCAGATGCTTGATTTCAAGGGCTAATCCTGTGTTCAGATCTTGCTTGCAACCCCTCTTCTCTTGCATTCGCAAAGGCAGTGGCTGCTCAGAGCCTCTAGTAGTTCAGGCATGAATGAAAGTCCCAGTGTCTTGCTGCCCTACCTGGTATTTGCTCGCAACAAGAGGTGTGACAACTGCAGCTCTCCTTCCAGCTTTCCAGCTGAGCTCCCGGCATCTTCTGGTGTTTCTTTCCAAAAGAGCAAAGCATCAGAAAATCCTTCCCTTGTCACAGTGCAAAGCCAGGGGTTACACAGAGGAGGAAGCAGTTTGAAGCAAGGGCCAGGCAGACAGCTTCTAAAGCTTCAAATGTGGCAAGGCATTTCAGAATAAGTGTGTGCAGGTTTATATTTAACAGGATGACTTTGAGCACCCAGGGTGCCTTCCATTTGTGCTTTCAGAATCTGCAAAGAGGAGGAGTGGTGGAGTAGGCGGGGAATGGGGAAATCAAAGTGCCTGTGACACCGTGGTGGTGGTCATAGGAGCCCAGGTCATTGAGCAAGACCCTGTGTGTCCAGGATGTGCGGAAGAGATTGCCTCCTCCTCATGGAATTTATAGCTAAGGCTTAAGATTAAAAGTTGAGCTTTTTTCATTTGTGCTTCACGCATGTGTGAGCTTCGCTTTAGGCCTCAAATCTGCTGCTCTTGAAATTGGTCTCGAAATTGTTATTGACTTTAAATGCTGCAAGATTTCACCCATAAATTCTTCTCCCATCTGCAAAACAGGGATGGCAGGATTTCTGTGCCATCTGTGGTGCTGTGAAGCTGAAAACAATCATCATTTATAAAGTGCTTTGAGCTCAAATGGGAGGTTCTGTGTAAAGGCAAGGTTTTGCAGGAGGAAATGTTCCTTAATGTGCTAGTTGCATCTGATAGCTGAATCAGGGGCTGGGTCGGACGTTTTGGAGGAACAGTCTGGTGATGCAGAGGTAGTGTTCCAGCTGCTAAATGTCTTGGTTTATTTTTGTTGTTCAAAATCTCCTGTTCATCATTACAGAATTAAGGGACAGAGAATCCAGTGTCTGAACGTCCCACAAAAATCAGTATCCTACATCCATGCTCATTTTGAGCACCTCTGATCTTAACAGCCTCGAGTCTCAGTGTGCCTCTGGCCACCAGCTGGTGATTTAGCAGCACATGCATTACAAATAGGAAACTTGGAGCCGCAGTCACAAGTGTTAAGCCTTTCTGAGTGCAATAGGATGCATTTGATGGGAACAAAAGGATGTTAATTTATACCCAGCTTTGCAGGGCATAGAAGGGAAGCTGCCTAACCTTTGCCTCCAGAGCTACATTTGCCTTATATTTGCATAAAGCTGATGGCCCAGTTGCTGCAACAAAGAGCAGATTGTGGCCAAGCACAACAAGTTAAGATTAAATACTGAGGTTCCCAGCGGGTAGTGCAAAGCATGCGTGGCAAGCAGCAGTTGCCCAGGCTGAGCTAACATATGGCTCGGGTCAAGCACTTCTAACGGAGCCGCTGGTTTCTCCTTTTGCAGACACAAGCCACCCGACCCGCTCCGTCTCCAGCCGCCCCTACTACAGCTTGCCCAACAGCAGCCATGAGAGACGCTCGGTCCTTGCAATCACGGAGCCGCCGCGTTTCCACTCCCAAGCCAAAGGCAAGAACGTGCGTCTGGATGCGCACTCCCGCAAGGCCACGCGGAGGAACAGTTTCTGCAACGGAGTCACCTTCACCAACCGGCCCATACACCTCTATGAGAAAGTCAGGCTGAAGCTGGTGGCTGTGCACCACGGCTGGAGCGGAGCCCTGCGCTTCGGCTTCACCATTCATGACCCATCACAGATGAGCTCTGACGAGATACCAAAGTACGCCTGTCCAGACCTAGTGACCCGACCTGGATACTGGGCCAAAGCTTTGCCGGAGAGGTTTGCTGTGAGAGACAATATCTTGGCCTTCTGGGTTGACCGTCATGGGAGAGTCTTCTACAGTATTAATGATGAGGAGCCAATATTGTTTCACTGTGGTATTAAAGTTTCTGGTCCCCTCTGGGCGCTCATAGACGTCTATGGAATTACCCATGAAGTGCAAATACTAGGTAAGTGTGTGTTTTGGCCTGTGGGTTGCTCTTCTGTTGGTTTTGTACCTCAAATTAAGCATTTTTCTTTTGCCAGCAGTGGGGATCCAGAAAGCAATGTATTTCAGGGATGTCAGTGATGGAAATCCCTAAGGCTGTGCGTTGTAGCAGTCACGTGAAGGGATAAATGGAAATCCTTGCATGTAACTTTATCCACCTTTTTCTAAGCTAAATATGGTGCTATGGCATGGAAAAACATGGTGCTGCTTTACAGCAAGGTCCCAGGGACTGAGGAGACAGAGGTGACCAGTTCTGGCTTCCCCTGTTTTTTCCCAGCTACCAGGTACTGTTAGTCTACTGGAAAACTACCACCCATTCCCCAAGAGTTTTGTGGGGCTTTTCCCCAGCCTCTTTCTCAGCCCTTGCCCTTGGTCCCTGCCTGGGCTGGCAGTTTAACAAGCTGTGTTTGCAGGTGAAACCCACCTTACCCTTCCTTTACACATGGGCATCTCTCTTATGTCCGCAAAGCACCGACTGCAGCACAGGATACAGCCCACCAGCTGAAGAGTGATGAGAAAATGTAGTGTGAGCTCCTGTGTGCTTTGGCATCCTTGCCACCATGGGCTATATCTGCCCTCACCCCTAAGCAGATTGCTGCATTCAGGTGGTTCCTGGCTGATTTACAAGCACCATCCTTGGGGAGGGCTGCAGGAGGTGATGAATTTGTTCCCATCAGCAAACCGAGCCTTTCGTGACTTTTACAGCACTGAAATTTCAAATGAATTCAGTGTCAGATGGAGTGTTTTGAACTGGTCTAAACCATGGGGAATCCTTTTAAAATACAAGAGTGCTGCCATTTCCCAGAGGCTCCAAGGAGCTGATTTAGTTTTAACAGCCAAACTACGCTGCACCTGCTCGAGGGGATGGTGCCTCTGTCCTCACACGCAGCAGACACCAGCCATAAGCTGTGAAATGGTTAGTCTAGTGGGCAGGCAGCTTCATCACATATTCTTCTGAATGGTGCCAATTATTTTGTGGGTGAGAAGGCCACACATAAACAATACTTTGCCCTGCCTGCTCTGCCTCAAATGTGTAATTAAACCTTACCAGCAGCTTATCCTGTAATTGCACTTGTGGCACACTCCAGTCTCTGGTGCTCATCACAGAGGTGAAGGAGCATTTGCTGTGTTGGCCAGTGCAGCTGCTTCTGGCCAATAGAAAGTGGTCCTTCTTCCTCATTTGATTGTAGTTAGAGAAATAAAATGCAGCTTATTTCTGCCCCCTCTCCCACCAGTCCTGCCTGCCACATCGATTGTGCAGAGGGAAGGACTCAGTCTGAGGGCACCTGTACTCTGATTTGTTATATATTTCTTTAATCAAAGCGCACAGCCCCACAAACTGCTGCGGGAATCAGGGCGATGCTCAGCTGTGGTACCAGGAGACCCAGCCTCCTTGCTACAGATGTGATGGTGTTATAGCAGACATGTTTCTTTCACTGTCTCTTCCTCATAAAATTTTGCAAGTCGAGAAAGCCATGAAATGCACAGGTCACAAAATGCATCTTTCAGCAGCATGAAGCTTGGGCATGTTTTACTCCTCTGTGGAGCATTTCTTGACAGATATCTTGTACTTGCTGGAAGCATCTGGTCCAGCCATCAATTGACACCAGTGGCCTCTCCTGAACGGGCTTCTGAGCAAAGGCAGCCCCTGTTCTGAAATTGCTGGATGGATCTGGGTGGTTCTCCTGCTGGTGACTTTCTCCTCCAAGGAGCAGGCAGTGATAGTGCTGGGGTGCTTCTTCCCACTCCATCTTTGGGAAGACCAGGAGTCTGCTTCATTCACACACTCTTAACTGCTACATGCTTTGACTTTGCTCATCTAGTTAATGCCTTACCATCAGAGCGAAGTGTCCGAGCTGCCCTGGGCAATGCTGGAGGTAAAAGGAAGAGCACTCCTGAACCTCTCCACACCTTTAAATCCTCCCCAGCCTGACATGGCCAACTTGAAAATCTGTGAAATGAAGAGTCAGCATCCTGGCTTTCCCTTTGCTGTCAAAGGATGAAATAACTCCCTGCTGTAAAAAATCTTCTTCTTAACACTTGCAGCAAGTAGATTTTGTGCCAAGCTCTCTATTGAAAATCTCTGCAGTGCTGTGAACACCCCTGAGGTACCCTCTTGAAGTCCAAGAGAGGTAAAATGACCTGTCTTGAGCGCACCTATGGCTAGGCACCTCTGTAAGGAGTGTGAAAGAATACTATTCATGCTTGTACTTCTCCCATCACTGTGCTTGGGATTTGGTTTGCACAAGACCTTTGGACAACAAGATACTGAGATGTTTCCTTCTTTTACAGAGTAACCTCAAAGCTATTAGACCCCTCTACTGAGAAAGCTGTAGGACCACACTGGTTTACAGCTTTTCCCAGTTCAGCAGTGCAAGGAGCTCCCAGATTACATGGGTACTTCATGACACTTGTTTTTCCTCAGCCAATGCCAAGGTGCAACTATTTCTGTGTACTCTCCACATGCGACTCTCCACTCCTAGCTCTTTACTAATGGTTGACCTCTGGCTAATTTTCCCATTGTTTTTCCATTCGAAGGAACAGAATTCAGATAGTCTCTAGGCTGAAATAATAACAAATGTAACAAGAAAAGTAGGCAATTTTATCTTACTCTGATGCCCCTTATCACTGTGTTTGTCTCACAGATAGCATGTTTGCAGAGACCATGACCACTGCTCGTCTCAGCTCTGCCCGTCTCAGCACTTGCCTTCCACAGAGCAACCACGATTCAGCCAATTTCAATAACAACGAACTGGAGAATAACCAAGTGGTGGCCAAAATTGCAAACCTAAACCTAAGTCGGGTACCGGGACTTGCGACAGACAACCACATCATCCCCTGTTGCCCAAACCGGCGGCAGCATGCCCATGGGGTCCCAGCCTTCCTGGACACAGACCTGCGGTTCCATCCCACCCGTGGACCTGACATCACCTTTTCTCAGGACCGGATGGTTGCATGCACCAACTGGCAAGAAAGCAATAGGACTTTGGTGTTTTCTGACCGGCCTTTGCACATTGGTGAAAGCCTCTTTGTGGAAGTAGGACATCTGGGGTTGCCATATTATGGGGCCCTTTCCTTCGGCATCACTTCTTGTGATCCGAGTACTTTACGGACAAATGAGCTCCCAGCAGATCCAGACTTTCTCTTGGACCGCAAGGAGTACTGGGTGGTTTACCGAGCGTTCCCGGTCCTCAACAATGGCGACATCCTCAGTTTCATGGTCTTGCCAAATGGGGAGGTGCACCATGGGGTGAACGGAGGCAGCCGAGGGATGCTGATGTGCGTGGACACCTCGCAGTCTCTCTGGGTGTTTTTTACAATCCATGGTGTAATCAATCAGCTCAAAATACTGGGTAAGTGCAGCCAAATGGAATGATAATGGGGAGCATGTGGCTGGTGAATTTTCCTGGGCCAGAACAGGAGCTAGGGGTTTGCATTCCCAGTGTTCCCTCTACTAGGTGGTCACTTGTGTGAGGAAGCAGCTCCTTATCTCACCTTGTGTTTGCAAACAAGAGTGTGTGGGACATGGTAGCTCTCCCATGGATGCAGCTTATACAAGTCCCCCAGAAAAGGATGAGACTTGAGAGACAAAAGAAGCAGCAGGCTAGGGGGGACCACAGCTGGTTTTCAGATGGTTTGTTTTTAAAAAGGATTCTTTATAAATCCACTGTTCCAGCTGACAGGTATTAAACTCCTGCCTTGGTAAGGGCAATGATTTTTGTGAGCTCTGGTTTAATCACATGTGCTGCTGGTAGACAGTAACCACTCCCCAAGCACTGCCACAGTTTGAGTATCAGATGGCATTTCAATGTTGAGCTGTTGCTGGTGACCAGTTACAACTTCTCCTTTCTAAGTCAAGGATTCTATCAGAAAACTGACAGTGGTAACTTTGTGAATCAAGTTTTTCTTATTTAAAGCAATGGCCTTTCCCAGCTGCCCCTGAGACAGTGGTAGCTAGAGGCCACTGCTGCTGGAGAGATCAGGACCATGGGGAAGGGACTTTACACCCTAAACAATGGCTGTCAGATAACTGGTTCTTACTTCACTGAAGCACTGATCAGACATTGTACAATGGCATTGTGAGGTCCAGGTCCTGGAGTTCACATCCATAATCATGCATCTCCATCATACTAAGGGGCAGCACTTAACCCAGCAGGTGGGCTTTACCCTAAAGCACTGAGGGCTGAGGGGCATTTAGCTGGGCTTTGGGTGTCCATCAGTGCCACAGTGGGCTCAGCTCTCTCCCTTGTTTGCAGGCACTGTGCAGTCCAGCCCAGTGACCATCTCTCCCTCAGGATCACCTGGCGGCTCACAGTATGACAGTGACTCGGACATGGCCTTCAGTGTGAACAGGTCATCATCTGCTTCAGAGTCATCACTGGGTAAGGAGAGCCCGTGTGCCAAGACAGGGATCCGGGCAGACAGACAGTGCTGGGGTTACACAAGGCAGCAGGGCAAGGTTGTGGGGCAGATGTTACATCCGCAACACCAACAGAAATAAGTGGAAAGAAACAAAGTGATGGGAAGATTTTCATGGCTTGAGGAAAGGCTGCACGTTGCTTCCCACTTTGTCTAATGGAAGCAGTCTCTGCAGTAGTTGGGGGTGCAGTATCATGTCTGGGGGTCTTACAGCACCCAGACCACTGCTTTCTGCACTGTCAGGGCTCCACTGACAGGGGTGCCTGCATAACCACTCACATGCTGGTGTTTGGCATGTGCTGCTGCCATCCAGCATGGCTGATGAGATGCAGGAGCACCCTTAACGGAGCATGGCTCCTTTGGGGAGAGTGGGGCTCTGCACACTCACACCACGAAATGGGTGTGCAAAATCACAGCCCTGCTTGGGGAAGCCCTGGTGTGCTGTGCTTGCTCTGTCTATACAAAAAGGATGGTAAGCTCTGCCCGGGGCTGTACCTGTGCTGCCAATTAGGATGCGCTGAGATTCGTTTGGCAAATGAACCAGGCAATGACTAAGGAAGGAAGAGCCTTAAAGGTTGACTTGAGTGTGTGTTGTACAGTCTCAGGCTTGCACCATCCTGGTGACTAAATGATCTTATTCCTTCCTTCTCTTTCACAGTGACTGCTCCGAGCTCCCCCCTGAGTCCCCCCATCTCTCCCGTTTTTCCCCCTCCGGAGCCAGCAAGCACCAAGAACGGGGAATGCACCGTTTGCTTTGACAGCGAGGTGGACACGGTGATCTACACCTGCGGACACATGTGCCTCTGCAACACCTGCGGTCTTAAGCTGAAGAAGCAGCTCAACGCCTGCTGCCCAATCTGCCGACGGGTCATCAAAGATGTTATTAAGATATACCGCCCGTAGCGCCCGGCTCGGGTCGTAGGAAGGGGGAACGCCGCTAGCAGTAACCATGCCTTTCCGTCCCTGCTTATGGGTTATCGTGCTGGTCAGTCGTTATCAAGTGGCTCGTTATCTGTGTTTCCTTATTTGACTGGTAGGGCACAATTCAGGGATCAAATTGAGCTGAGGATCACGTGGGGCCCAAAGGCACGGCTGCCGTGCCGGCCAGGCTGTGTGCCCATGGGTGAATCCGGGAAATCGCGGTCTGGATCCGACCCAGCTGCAAATGAGAAATTTCCTGTGCAAAGGCTCTTTTTTCACTTCTTCCTCCAGTGAAGGAAGCTCTTGCTGTGGTGCGTGTTGGGAAGGGGAGGTTGCCACTTATTTGGTCAGTGCTGGATGCCACTGGGCTTCCCAATCCCGAAACCCCAAGAGCCCTGGTCTGCTGCCAGGTGCTTGTGCTGGGGTGGGATAAAATTAGACAAGGCCCAGTGGGAGGGTTTAAAGTGGGCAAAACTGGTCTGGAAATGTCATGTTCATCCATGTAAGGGGAATTAGCTGAGGCCAAAATAGTAGCACAGACAGATTCTCTCTTGTTTTGTTTGGGTTTTGCCCCCCTTGAGCAGGCTTCTGTGGCACATGGAGAAGCTGGTCTGGCTTTAGATCAAGCAGCTTATATAAAGCGGCTTTTGCTTTCTGTGGCAGAGCAGAGACTTTAGGCCAGGGAGGCTGAGACCCATGGAGCAGCCACAGGGTAGCAGTGAGGAGCATGAGCCCACTGAGAGCCCCGGCTGCGGCAGCAGCAGTGATGGGCTGTTCAGGCACTGCCATATGGCTGGCTGCTGAAGCTATGAATTGCAGCCAGTGGCTCAGTGGTGCATTTGGATGGGCACACTGCAGTCCTAGCTCAGACAAAGCATGAGGCTACCATCATCTACAGTGACGGTGTTTGTCACCTCCAGGCACACAAGGCCTGCATTTTCCTCTGCTCCTCTTTGCAGGCAGTGTAGCTGCTGTCTCACACTGTCCTGCCTGGCTCGCCTCCCCTAGCCCTTCCCCTGCTGCCAGTACTGCAGCAGGGCTCAGCCTTTCTCCTGCCCACCACAGGGACTTTTTGGAGCCCATGGTGAGAAACTGATTTCTGTCCCAGTCCCAGCAGACTTAGCTTTTTTCCTAGGGACTGTATCTGCTGATTTTACCTGCTCTTTCTCCTGCCTTTTCAGGTTTCCCGGCACAGCTCCCAGCTGCCCAGACACTGAGTCCCAACAGTAGATGAGAACTTGTTGAGATGAACAGGGATCTGTCTCACTTAGCTTTACTTGGGAGAAGGAATGAAAAAGGGTCTTGGACTATTAGTAGATGTTGGGACTTAAAAAGTAAATGGATTTCAGCTGTGATATTAGCTACATGCAGAAGCAACCTGGATGAGCTGGGCAGCATCTGAGCATGCAGTATTGGTGCTGGTTTGAGGAACTTGGTGTTCTCCTTCTGCTCCTGCAGGAGCTACCCTCTGTTCTCCGTCCTCTGCCCACTTGTGTGGCTCCTGTCCAGTCCTTCAGCCTGCGCCTGGTTGGTCTCTAACTGGTCCAGGTTTGTAAAGAAGGGAAGAGAGAGGATGCAAGTGATAGGATAAGAGAGGGGCTGGTGTCATTTTAGCTTGGTGACCTTGTGCCACCAAGTGCCACCAAGTGCATAGAAACACCTTTCTTCAGAAAGGTGCAATTACCACGTTTTTGTCCAAAATAAAGGAAAAAGAATAGCAACCCCTGTATGCTCAGGGTTTCAGGGCCTAGAGGGGCAGCCTGCCTTTGTTGCTGTCTGTCACCTTGCCTTGCCATTTACTCTCTCCTCCAAGGTGCCGTAGCCATGGGTGTGCTGCCACCTCTCACAGTGCTGGCACTTGGTGGTGCCACCAGTGCTGCACTTGTTACCAACCGGCACTTGGCCCCATCCCAGCCCTGCTCCACCATCAGGAGGGCACACTGAGGAGCAGCTCATCCTCCTCCTGCAGCGCTGTGCTGCCGGCTCGCAGGGCACGGAGAAAAACTTTGGTTTTTTTTAATCTTGAAGAGCTAAACAACATTTTAATTCTGTGTGTAAATGAGAGGCTGCTGTAGCGTGAGATCTCTTACCCATTGCCCTGCTGCATCGGCACGAGAGCCTGCTGGCTTTCCAGAGCCCTTTAGGGAAACTTGGCTCATGCCGCTGGCTGTGATGCTGCCGAGCGTGCCCAGCCCTCAGCAGAGCCACTGGCACTGCACCTGTGGCACGAGTTCACTTACACCTTTGCAAAAGGTGGCAGTGAGGGCGTCTTTCCAAGCTGGAGCCTTGTCCAGCCCCTCTGCCCGCGGACCGCAGGCATTGCCTTCACAGAGACCTCCCAGATGATGCTATGGCAGATCAGGGTCTGGCTGTGGTGAGTGGGTGCAGCACGAAGAGCATGATGATGGCAAAGTATGTGAGCAGGTGATGAAAGGCCAGGTTGGGTTGGCACCTGCCTGGCGGGTGGGCTGCAGTGGGAAGCCTTTGCATGAAGAAGAATTCAAGGGAAGTTGTCTGTATCCACAGCGAGTGATGTTAGCTTGGGTCTGGTCTGGGCTAGCAAACGCCAGCGGCCATCCCTGGGGCTGCTGTTCTGTTTTCAGGGATGCCTGGTCCTTTTCAGTGGGTGTGCAAGCAGAGCCTATGTGCTTGGCTGACGCTTCAGGTCCTCAATGGACGGGGCTATCGCCATGCCTGAGCTGGGGTTTTCTTTGGTGTAGCTCTCTTTCCTTTTTTGTGCTTAAATCCAGCAAGGAGGAATACTGAATCTACTCCAGGCTGTGTCCAAGCTGTTCAGGACACTGCAGAGGTTGTGTTTTTGCTGTAGCAGCCCAGTCCCATTTCCACAAGGGCAGCATCCAGTGGGACCAGCAAGGGAGGCAGCTCAGCGAGGGTCCAGAGTGTGGCCGTGCAGCGAGCGGGAGGTGAGAGCAGTAGATGTGTTACCCTGCCTATCCGAGAGCAACAGGAATGTTCCAGAATAGGCTTCTTAAAAACCAAGGATTGCCAGGAAAAGGTAGCCTCTTACAGATTTAATTGTTAGTACTCGTATTGCTATTATTTTTTAAACAGTCCGATGATATATGATTTGTACAGAAGATCTGTTTGTGCCTTATAAGGGTGTCCGTGCACTTTTTATCCTTTTTAAAGCAAATTTTAAAAAGAAAAAAAAAAATATCCAGGGGGGAAAAAACAACACAGATCAATGGTAGTTTTATAGAATTTTGTGTTCACTGAGAATCCTGCTTTTTTTATATATATACTGGAGTGAAAAAGTGTTTTATTTCCATGGTTCCCCCCCCCCCCCCCCCAACCTATTTGTTTCAAAACTGACAAAAGGAAGAAAGAAAAAGAAGAGATGGGGGAAACTCTTTTACCTTCCCCCTTTCTGAGACAGTTACTCTCTTATCGTTACCTTTATGATTCAGTACTGTGACCTGTACATCATGTTTAAGCTGAATCAGATTTTGGACCTCTGTATTAGGCTTTTCAAGCAAATCATCTGGGGGACCTGGGGGGTGGGAGGGCATCGCACGAGGGAGGGAACTGCACTTCTACATGTCAGAGCTCTATAGCGTTGTGTTCAGTGCTGTGTGTTTTACTTTTGGTCATTTATCTGTTTTACATTAATATAATTTTACTTGTTTATGAAACAAATAAAACTTTGGCTTGTAAAGCGTGCTCCTGGGCGTTTGAAGTGTTTGAACTGGAGGGTGAGTAAATCCTTTATTTCCAAAGCGTGGCACTATTAATGCACAGAGGCAGGCACCTCTGTTCAGCTCAGGCACCTCTGCTTCAGCAAAATTAATGGTATGCACTTTAAATACCTTGCGTGAGCTTTGCATTGCTCCTGGGAGGACACTGCACACTGGCTGCGCAGTCCCTTGATGGGCTGGGCAGGGTAGGGTAGGGTAGGGGCATTCCTGGCTTGTTTAACCTTGCAAACCCTTCCAAGCTGGGCTGCTCACTGCACTAAAGCAGGGTGTCCTGTGGCAGATGCCCTGTCCAGGTGCCCCAAACTCCTCATCCAACCTGCACCATCTCAAGCAAGGCAGCTGCAGGTGTGGCCCCACTCCTGTGCTTGTGCTGAGGCTGCGGCAGCCTGGGGACCACCGTGGCTGGCCAGGGAAGGGGTGATGCAGGCACAGAGAGGAGGGCTGCTTTTCCTTTTCTTCTGTTTTTCTTTTTTTTTTTTTCTTCTTTTTTTAATTCTGTTTTGTTTGGTTTTTGTTTTTTTGGTTTTTTTTTAAGGGTTGTTTTATTTTGTTCTTTTTTTTTTTGTTTGGTTTGCAGCAATACCTGGCTCCCTATGTCACAAGCAGAGGCCAGCTGAAGGCTGCTTTCTAGACTATTTATATCTCTAAATGTGACCAGCTGAAGCTGACACCAGTCAGGCAGCCTCAGATGTGGTCTAAAGCAGGGTGGAAGAATTCATTCATAACTCTGCCCTGGCAAGAACACGGCCACAGTTAAGTGTTTGCATGGAAAACCTCACAAGCCGCAGGTAGCAGAGGAGCCCGGATGGCTGTTTACACCAAAAGGCCTTTTTATAAACTCTGCTGCCTCAGTTTATCCAGAGAGCTGATCCCTGAAGCTGCCAACAGGCTGATACTGCCAGTCTCAGGCCACAGAGCGACTTTGCACCATACTTACCATTAGCGTGAGGATCTGCTCCAGCTGCTGCTGGCCCAACCCTGGGGAGAGCATGGAGGATCACTGCCCGCTCCCATCACCTGCACCTGCAGCCCCCTGCCAGCCTGGGTACCATGATGCAAGTACCAGCCCAAACCAAGCCTCCCATGGCTGAAGCCCCTCGTTAGCGTTCTGCCAGTTCAGGTGCTGAGCAATGCCTGATGATGCCCAAATCTCCAGCCCTTGCAGGATCTGCATGGACTAGGTGGGTTATGGCCACCTGAAAGCCAGGGCATGAGCGTGGAAGAGGCTTACCTATCCAGGCTGGGCAGCGGTGAGCCAGGCTAGTGGAAGATGCTCTTCCATGTCCTTTTTCCCCTCCTTGCCTAGCCTTCCCAAGCACTGTATGCATGAAATACCACACACGCAACCCTCTGCCAGAAGGCACTTGGGCTCTGATAGCTACTTTTGCCTGAGTACACCTATGTCAGCCATCATGCAGCACACCAGACATACACCAGTCAGACACGGGGTCACAAGGGTGCTTGAAACCAGTCAAGCAATTTCTGTTTATTTCTTAAAAAAAAAAAAAAAAAAGGAAGAAAACAAAAACGCTAAAAAAAAAAATAAAATCAACCCTCAAACCCCACCGAATTAAAAAAGAAATCAACCCCATAATGGTGAAAGTATAGATACGGCATTTACATGGCTACATCTATCTTCTGCTGACCCCCCCACCCTCCCACAGTAATGTAGATTTATACACACATAATATAGTGAGACAGACAAACAAATGGGCTTTGAGAGCCTGCGGGGTGCAGGAAGGACCTCCAGCCTGCCAAGGATGTGCTGAGCTGCAAGGACCTCCAAGCACCCAGTTCTTCTGCCCCCACCCATGGTGATGCCCCTCCTTGCTGCTGGTGGGAAGGAGGAAGGTTGATCTTTGGCTGCTGGAGTGATGAGCCCTGTGGCCAAGCTCAGGGTACAAAGTCTCCTGGCTGCCCTCCTCCTCCTCACGAGGTAGTCGGGGAGTTTGGCCACATTTGTTGTGTGAGGTACAGAGAGGAGGCACAGCCCAGCAGAGGGCACATGTTGGATAGGGGCAAAGCCCTGCCAGCCCATGGCTCTCAGCATCTTCCTGATAGGAGCCGTCGTCCAGCCTGTGGTCCCCTTGCAGACGGAAGAGTGGTAGGAAGGGGTAAGGCTGCAAGTGTTGGCACCCTGCTGAGGGTCATCCCCTACTTGGGCACTCACCTGCCTCCTTGGAAGCTCTTTGGGAACAAGGGAGCAATCCTGTCACACACTCAATGAGCCAAATACAGTACTTGTGTCAGCAAAATGAAGCACTACCAGTTCTGAGGTTCAGTCTGGGAGGAAAGCAGAAATAGCCCTCATTTGGTATGGAGGCCAAAGAAATAGCATTGTCCCTCCTGAGGAAAGCTGGGGACAGTGAGGTCTCTGAGACAGAGAAAGGAGAGACACTTCTGAGATTAAAAGGCCATTCAGAAAAGAGAGAACAAGGACACAGTGCCACTGGAAAGGACTCATAGCCCTTCCAGCCTGCTGTGTGATACTGCCAGAGCGGATGTGGACACAGCTCCAGCCCCCTCCCCAGATACAGCAGGGGCTGGACTGGGCTGCTGCCAGCTTTGACTTAACTCATCCTGTCCCCATTCCTTTCCAAAGCAAAAGGGATTTACTGGAGCAAGAGATGCGCAGAGACAAGGCATCATTGTTCCCCCAACCCACCCTGCAGCGCTCCTGGGAGCACATCAACACCTCGCAATGTGCCACGCAAAGAAATTTGTTATTGGATTGGGTTGCAAATGTATTGCTTATTGCCAGCTCAGGTGAGTCAGCCTGATCAGGGGCTGATGTGCCACCAGAGAAAACTGGAAGTGGGAGGAAGAGGAATCAGCTGTAGACTAGGGTGAATGAATTCCCACGGTAAAACACAAACCTTGGGGCTTCTGGATATGAGGCTGGACTGGAATGGTCGGGACTTCTCCATCTGATAAAGAAGGACTGGGACAAACTGCCCCATCACCCTCTCAAAATGAGCCTGGCCTGAAGCACCACCATTTTCATTCAGTACACAGACAGAAATACCTTCAACTCCACATTTCCAGAGGAGAAAATAGGGGACAGAAAAGGCAGTGAGCATCTAGGGGAGTGGAGAACACTCCTTCAATTCTGCCAGCCTCAAATTAAAGGGAAAACTATAATTTTCAGCAGCAAAACAATGTGGCTGCAGAGCTGCAGCTGCAGTGCTCAACACTTGCAATTAGACTAGAAAGGGCAACAGGGCTTGGTCAACAAGAAACCCACAGAAGCACTGGGTTTAAAGCTTTTCTGGAGAGAGAAATGTGACCTTAAATCTGCAAGTAGCCAAATACAGAGGGAAGAAAGCAGCACTGGGGAACAACAACTCATCTATGCTCAATCCTCCTGCTAGGACAAGCAACACTGGGCAAGATTAGGCTGTGCAAGCAGGAATGGCAGCATGGAAAAACCCCAGGCTCTGCTTGCCCTGAAGACCCTCAAACAGCCCAGCAAGCATGGTGAAAGCAAAGTACCTGGAAGACAGGCAGATGGGTGAGAAACAAGGCAGGGAGCCCCTGAGCACCAGACACACCTCACAACTGGTTGTGACGAGGAGCTGAACTCCCACATGCTGCATTGCACTTGATAATATCAGCACCTACTAAAGGACCCACCTCCTGGCTGCTGCCCGCCAGCCTGGGAAGCTCTGTGGGTCATGGGAACGGGTGGTCCCCTTAGTCCAACAGGCAGGGCAGTCTGTGTGGGAATGAAAGCAAAGCATCCTTTATCCAGGGCTTCTGGGGTCATTTTGGTCCTCTGCGCCTTGCATAGCATCCTTCAGCTACCAGAGCAAAACACCTCTTGTTTGGTTGTGATACTGCAAGGGAGAAGCCTGCATAGTGTCCTGGGTCAGCACAGAGAGGACCTGTTATATATATGTGTGTGTGCATGTGTGCATTTGTCTGTGGTTTTTTATCACCAGGAGGATGTTGAAGTTAACACTTGTCATTTTAGAGCAGGAAGGACCAAGGGACAGCCCCATGGCATGCACGGCGGGGAGCAAGTAACAGGGGGTGAGGGCAATGCCTGTGCCTGCATGTGCACGCAGAGCTACAGGGACCTCATCCTCAGCAATCATTCCTCCTTTTTGCCACACTCCCTATGGCTCTGCTACACACCTGGACTAAGCAATGTGACCTACAACATCTGGCCATGAACCTGAGCCTCAGAGAAGGCAAATCCTTTTACACGACCAGACTTCCCTGGCTGGTACCATTCCACAGCCCGTGCAGGTAGAACAATGTCCACCAAGGTCAAACTCCCCAGCACAGAGAACCACGGTAGCCATTGTATGCCACAAAGCTTGGCCAGAGCAGCTCTGGCTGCTCCAGGAGATGTGGGAAGGAGGGTGGATGGAAGCACACAGGTGGGGAGGGAAGGCTGAGCTGCTTCCTCCACGCTGCTGCCAATGGGCACCAGCTGGGATGCGTGGGATCTCGAGTATTATCTTTTGTTTAAAGCCAGCCTTATGGAAAACTATAAATTAATCTAATTAAATACTCGGGTGAGAGACCAGGGAACCTCTGGCTGTGCAAGCAGAGGAGCAGCTATGGCTTCTTCCTCAGGTAATTGGAAGGGATCCAGCCCTCCCAGCACGGCCCCCCAGTCAGGACCTTACAAAACCACCAGCCGCTGCTGTTCTTCTCGCGAACTTCAAACAAAGTCCCTTCTTTGAAGCTGTTGGTCTCCTCGTCGCCTTCAAAATCTGCCACTGCCACATACAGAGCTTCCCTGGTGATGTCCGGACTGGAGACAGGGGCTGAGGTCCTCTCCTTGGCTTCCCCTCTCTCCACTGGCTTGGATATGACCTTTGGGCTTATGCTGCTTTTTACTTTGGCTTCATCTTGGATGGAGGCAGAGAGGAATGGTTTGGCTTTCGGAGGAACCAGCATGGGCCTCCCCGGCACTGGGGATGACCTGATTTCGGGTGCTTCCCGTGCTGGGACCCTCAGCTCCGCTGTGGGGACAGAGGCAGGACCCCCTGTTTTCTTAGGAGGGGGTGGTCTGCGAGGCGGCACCACGGGGCGCTGTGGTGGGGGCTCCCTGGAACCCAGGGGGTTTGCTGGGCCCAGGAGGGGTTTGGGCAGCACCTCTTTTGTGGTGTGGCTGTCCGGTCTGGGCAGGGGTTTGCTCTCCATGCTTGATCGCTCCTGAAACCTTCCAGAAGCCTCTGAAGAGGCCGTGGCGTTACTGAAGGAGCTTTCGCCGGCAGTGGTGTCCTGCTCGGAGGGTTTCTCTGGGCACTTTGCAGGTCTAAGCTTGCTCCGCAGGTTGCAGATGTCCAGTTTATCATCAGCTGGTGCTGGGTCAGTCCTGGGGGCTGCAGCGGGTTTTGGCCTGATTTGAGGTCTTGACTTCAGGAATGGATTCTGGGTGATGGGCTCAGGCTTGTCCTCCACAGGCTCAGCTTTTGGCTTCGTTGGCTTGACAATGGGCCGGAGGTTTGGCTTCTTCACCTCCTTGGCCGACACCTTATGTCCACATTCCAGTCCCATTTCGTTTTTCAGTTGGAAGAGTTTGCCCTTCTCTGGTTTGATCTCTGGCTTCTTCATGTCCTTAGGAGCTGCTGACTGCTTGGGTGGAATCATGGGCAAAATCATGCCTGGGGGCTTGGGGGGCGGCCTCTGCCTCTCCAGTAACTCGCCTTCCGATTTGATGATGGACTCCTTCCTGGGCGGCAGGCTGGGCTTCTCCTCTGTGTCACGGTCCGAGATCTCCTCATAGCCACCAGCAAAGGCTAGGTCCCCGCTCTCGGGAGCCTCCTTCCCCTTCCAGTCTTTGGCCCACTTCCCACCACAGTCCATACCGTTAGGAGGAGCCTCTGGCAGTGGACGGCAGGGTCCTGTTGCTTCCTCACTGGTGCTGCTGTCGGCCGCAGCATCCCCAAGGCGGAGCTGAGCCATCTCACTGGGAAGCGGAGCCAGGAAATTTGGCCTAGACGCGTTGCTGGTTTTCTTGTACTTATCGATGAATGTGGCAGGGGCCCAGCCTTCCTTCTCCTCAATCTGAATGTACCACCAGCCGCTAAGGTTCTTCTCAATAACCTGCCAAGGGGTAAAGAAACCTCAGACATCCATACAGGAGTGCTCTCTGCACAAAAGGGGATGCTCAGTGTCTCTGAACTGATGTCAAGGTGACACATGGCCCCGGTGCCTCTCCATCCAAAAGCCATATAATCACTGCATGGGTATCCTAATGAGAGGGGAACCTGGTAACAGCCTCTGGCAGGGAAGGGGACCTGCGTGCCGTGGGACTGAGGCTCGTCATCGCCACGTCGCGGAGCTGCCGCTGAACTGTCCCTATCCCGGGACCGGCATGCCGGGTACCAGCGGTGGCCACTGAGCGGCACTGTTGGAGCGACCAACCCGCAGCGATGCTGTGTTGGACCGGACGCCGCCAGATACGGTTCGGGCTTTGTGTGCTCCGCAAGTGGGGCTGGGACCTGAGAGGAGCCCACTGGGGCAGCCGTGAAGAGAAAATCCTCTTAAGGAGGCACAGCGTACGTTTTGAAAAGCAAAATCACATCTGCAGGAGGAATTCTGCCAGCAGAAAGCAATTTGGGAAGGGCTTTTGACTTTAACCTGGCCTAATTAAGGAAAAAACCACAATCTCTACCCCCATTTGTGCTGTGGTTTTAATTTGCATTAGTTCAGACAACAGAGCACCCACACACTTGCACGACAGGATGACAGGAGGCCACCAAGAGACTACGGACTCCAAAGTCTTGTGAGCTCATACAGGTGTCTCTCCTACTCTCAGAGAGCCTGGGATATTAACAGTCCACAGAGGCAATCACATGCATCACCATGCCCAGTTTCCAACCAGAATACCATGGTGAGCAGATCTTCCCTGCCTGGAAAGGGACCACCTGCCAGAAACAGGTTGCAGAGCAATGGGAGTCAGGAGCGCTGCACTGATGTGAAGATGTGAGAAGACTAACAGTCTCACCTCTACTTTCATTCCTGCCTGGAAGCTGATGCCATCAGGGATGGTGGTCTGGAAGTCAGCAATGGTGTAATATTCCTCTTCCACTTGAGGAGGGACAGGAGGTTTGGGCAGATTCAAACCGCGTGGCTATGAGAAGAGAAAATGCATCAGCATGTTTCTACAGCAGATGTGATACAACATCCACACAGGCCACCAGCCTGCAGAGACCCAAGATAGCGCAGCCAGGCCAGGGACATCTGCTATGCCCATACAGCGTCCTCACCAACACAAACAAGCAAACCACTTCCAGGCTGAGCAGAAAACTGCCCAGCACCAGAGCTCTTGCTGGCAGCAGTTACCTTCCCCAGAGGGAGGGAGCCAGCCTGCAGCCTCCCACTGGCAACCCAGCCCTGCAGAACAGACTGGCCAAAAGTTCCTTTAAAGACCACGTGCAAAGAGAGGAGGCTTAAAACATCAGGGAGGCAGTGTGCGTGCTCCAGCCTTGACCAGAGCACAGCCCATGGTACAGGGACAAAATCCCAGGCAAAGAATAACCAGTGACTAGAGCTCCTTTCAGTGCTCCTCTGACTCCCTTTGCCATTGTTGCTCTCTTATATCAAGTGGCACTTACTATGGTGAGATCTCGGCGAGGAGGGGGTCTCTGCCTCATCTTTGGTGACTCTGTAGAAGAAGAATTTCAGATGCTGTTGAATTTCTGGCTTTTGGTCGCACATGTGTTCAAAACACACAAGTGACAATGAGAAAAGAAAGGCAAGGACCAACCTGACCAATGGGCAAGGAAGCTGAAGGAGGAATCTGTCTGCCCTGAGTAGCACAGGTCACCCAGGTTTTGAGGGTGTCCCACTGGAAGGAGAACCAGCTTTGCACCATCAGGTGCTGCTGGGAAACACAGCTGAGGTGACCATGTGTACTGGCTTTTTCATTGCAGGTCTGACCCAGAAGACCTGGCTTCCAGAAGGGTAAAAATGCCCCAGCTTCTGAGAGGAGAGGATCTCTGGATCTCCATCCCATTTGCTGATGCTCAGCAGATCCCAGGGCAGCACTGTCCCTGTGCAATGCCACCTCCAGACCTTGCTGCAGAACCCACAGTACCTACAAGGCTTTTGCCTTCCTCACACCCCCTTACATCGCTAAAAAGCCTACAGGAAAGGCTACACTTGTACCCCAGCCACCAGTGGCCTCCTCCAGACCAGCCACTTACTGCGTCGGATGTCAGCGTTGGGCAAGGGACGGCCGTCAAATCTCCCATCCCTTTGGCCAGCAAGCACATCCTTCTCTCTGCTTGCCAGGACCTGTTGCCGGGAGATGCCATCCAGATCCAAGGCACAGGAATGGGTGGAGGAGCCTGAACCCAGCTTCTGCGAGAACATCTCTCCACTCCCCTTTTTGAGGTAGGAGGCAGGGGCCCAGCCTTCTTGGCCCTGGTACCTGTAGTGGCAACAATGGCAGTGTCACTGCACTGAGCCTCTGTGCTGGACCGGGACCATGAGTCCTTTCCCAGAGGAGGAGCCCATTGCGCTCCAGTGGTGTTGAGACATTGGCCATCTCCTGAGCTGAGCTCAGAGCAAACATTGACTGAAGATGCTACACGATCTGGGTAGAATGAGCTGGTCATGCTTCATGACACAGACCTGGAGAGCTCCAGCCATGACTAACGCTCCTGTGCAAGCTGGCCACAGCCAGCGGGCCAAAGGCTGGGAATGGCACAAAGCCCCATTTCCTTTTCACCTCAGCAATGGCACTAGCTCAGGAATGACACTGGCTGAGGAAGCAGAGTGGAAAACCAGAGGGATGCTGTTAGCACTGATGTAACTGGTCTTTGGAGAAGGCACAACCGGTAGCCTGGGTCCCTTCCCTGCTCTAAATCTGCACTGTTCAGCAGAGAAACCAGCCCCGTGACACGATTGGAACCCCACATCCGCAGTGTCCTGCCATGCTAAAGGGTCCCGCGCCAGCAGCAGAACCTCTCCCTGCTGGCTGGGCTGCAGCCCCTATGCTCAGATGGCACCAGCTACTGAGTAGTTGCCTTTGGAGCTCTCGTGGCAGCCCTCCTCCGCTTAAAAAGTCAGTGGATGTTTTTCTGGGGCTCTGCTGCTGCCAAGACCACAGGTTCAATGCAAGGTTAAGAAAATTGCAGTGTGTGCTCCCACCCTGCTCGAGTCCGGATCTTTGCAAGACCACAGACAAGAGAAAATGAGCCTCCAGCAGAACACAAGTATCAGCTCAGAATGGTCTGGAGTCTTTGGCCTCAGCACACCCTGCGTACAGCAGACCTGGCCCAGACAACAGCCCTTCTCTTCTCACCTCCTAACACAGTCAGAACATCCAGCCTGCCTCTGGAACGCTCACTGGTTTTCCTACCAGCAGCACATGATGTAACACCAAGGCTCTCACACCGGTTCCCTTTACACTGCTGGAGCATGTGATGCCATGATGCAGTCCACCTCCCAGCACAGGAAATTAGGGGATTTTAAAGATGTTCAGCCACAGCTATGGTTGGCTGAAGTCCTGAAAGTCGACTAGCTTTAGTTTGTAGGGATGGAGAGAAATGAGTTCTGGTTCTCTGCCCTTCCTTAGACTTGCCCTTGAACTGTACATCCCACGTGCTTTGCACAGCCTCAGCTGCAGTGCCAGGGAATAGCAAGAGGTAGAGACATACCTGATTTTCCACCAGCCCTCCAGGTTCTTCTGGATCACCACCACCACAGCCCCTTTGTCCAGGTTCATTTCATCCTGGTCTCTTGCGGTATATGGGTAAATAACGGTGTACTTCTCCTCTGTTGGAAAGAAAGTGCAGTTTCAGAGAGATACTGCTTTATGGAAACCTGGACTCGGTCAAACAACGGTTAAAAGTGCTTTATATAAATGATAATTCTTGTTGTAATATAGGTGCAAACACACAGAGATACACAACCATTTGGACGAGAAATGTCAGTGAAATGTACTTCAAAACAAACCCACCTGCGTTTGGAAATGTAAACTTTGGGGAGCTAGTCTGGCCCAAAGATATTGTCTACAACAGTTCCTCCTCTCCCTTAGGACTAAAGACTACCTTTTATATGACAGCTCTCCTTTCACCTGCTCTTTAAGAAGCCCTTCCATGCTTCCATTTCAGCTCAGATTTATCTCTTAGTGTGTTTAAAGAAGAACTGTCCCCTATACAGGGAAATAAACCCCATGGCCATCAGGGAGTAACCCCACACATACGGATGTGCTCTCACGCACAGCTCTCAAACTGCTCTACAGTGGCAGCTCTACATGAACTTCCCTGTTCAACATCTGAGTCCCCCAAGACACTCGTCAAAGGCATGTGGTGAGCCTGGAGAAGAGTCTGATGTCCTGTCCACTCGACCGAATGATGGCAAGCAGGGACACGGATGCTTTTCCCTTCAAGAGGAAGGGAAACACCCTAACAGCCACGCAGACATGTCAGACAAACAGGTTCATCCATCTATCCCTCTCCCTCACCTTGTCCTGTCTTCTCTGGAAGAAAACCAGGAAAGCAATTGCCTGTGCTTATGCGGTGCCACAATAGGGTGAAGACCACTGTGGGAAATGTCTGCCTCCAAACCCCACACTTCTGGGAATTCATGTATCCACACTGTGCAGGTTTCCTGGATTTGCCTCCTTGGAGCAGCACAGCCCTCAAAGGGCCCTATTTCCCACTGCCTTTAAGCACAGGAGTCAAAGCAGAAAATGCCCTGTTACACCCAGCAGGCTTTCCTCCTCCTGACCCCATCTGAGCCACCAACCCAAGGATCACAGCTCAGAGGAGTTACTTTTACAGGAACTAAGGCAGTTCAACAGCAAGTTGCAATAAGCCTGCACACATGTTGGGGGAAAGCAGAAACTCCAGCCTCTGTCCCCAAAACAACCCTCAGAAAGTGTGAAGGAGCAGCTGAGGAAAGAGATGGACATGAGTGGGTCTAATAGCAGGCTGAGGAGCACGTATGGCAGGCACTGAGCACTGACACAAGCAGGGTTCATCACATGCAAAGCAAACAAACAGACATGCGGACATGGTTCCAAGCACAAAACACGGGCAGCCAAACAAGTCTCTGTGAAGTCCACCTTGACCCCATCCACTGGTGTACAAGTCCCCAAGAGTCCGACGGCGGCCAACGTGCCTGGGCAGAGACCAGTATCTCCATGGGACTGGGAAGAGCATGTTGGGGAAGCAGGAGAAGGACAAGAGAGGACATAAGGAAGTGGCACTTCAGGTCCAAGAGGAGACAGGGCTGACACCAGAGAGTGGCACAGAGACTGTAGTCACCTGGAGACCCCTCCCCAGTCTGAGCCCCCCTCCCACCTCCATCTCCAGGGGCATTTCAGATTTGCTCTGAGCAAAGGCTACAAGCTTGCTGTTCTCACAAGGTGATCTCTGTGTTCTTTGTCCTCCATGGGTTTAGACAACACACGAATTCTCCTAGGACCTGAGCTTTGCTCCTCCTCCACTGCAGGTCAAACAGCTCCTAAAGGAGGCACTGGGATGGCAGGAGCTGGAGGTGGCACCTTCAGCCCCTCTGTGGGGAGCAGAAAGGCCAGCAGGTACATCACCAGTGTCCAGCTGCCCCATTCCTGCTGCAGCACTGGAGCAGAGCACTGGATGGGCAGAACCACCATGGGCAGACAGGTTTGAACAGCACTTGTGGGATTGTCCTTCCCTGACATGTCCTGCCCAGGTCAGGGAGGGCTAAGCAGTCCTGCGAGCAGCTCGGTGCCGATCAGCAGGAAGAAGCTGGGGCAGATGTCTCCAGCACCTTCTTACCTTCCTCGGACTGCATGGAGAACTCATCCTGGACACCATCCTGGGCCTCCAGGCAGGTCGCTGGCACCCAGCCTTGCTCCTCCAACGTGCTCACAAACCACCAGCCTGAGAAGAAAAAAGCAGGCAGCTCAGCCCAGAGCTCCCACCACCCCAAAACTCACTCCAAACCATGAGCCTTGGGGGTTTTTGCCTGCGTGGGAAGCTGGGGTGACCAAAAAACAACAGAGCCAAGCACTATCCGACTGGGAGCACAGGCTGCACCACAGGAGAATCACAGCTGAGTAACATCTAAAGGTACAGTTCCCTCCCCATGACGAATGGGAGAGGCTCTGAGAAGCAAACAGCTCCAGCCACCATGTTTGCTCTCCCTTTCCCCCTGCCCTTTGTGGCTCATTTTCCCTCAGTCCGGGTCAGCAAGCCTGGGCTAATTAGCAGAGATGAGTCCCCTGTCTGTGAATCAATAGCTGACTCCTGCTGCGCTCTCGCCTTCTTTACATTTGTGGAAACAGCAGATTTTGAAAGCTAAGAGCAAAGGCAGGATTCAAACATGAGCTCTCTCATGGAAACCCAACCAGCTCCAGAGCGGCCACAAGCAATTCTGGGCCACCCTGGGTGTCCAATCAACATAAATGTGTGCTCCTCAGTTATTAAAAGCACAAACTATTTGTGTCTTTGGGGGGGAAATAAACAACCTCACCAGTGAGTCATTTAGAAAGACAACTAGATTGTCGGGGAGGGAATCAGCAGCTATCTGCATGGAAGGGAAAACCAGGCTGACAGGGATAAATAAATCATTTGCCATAGCTTTTGAATTGGCTGTGCTAATAAGCTTCACTTGCTTCAGGGTTGCTTTTATTTTCCTCATTTCCCAGCATAGCTGTGGGCGCAAACAATGCTCTGGGGACCAGCTTTCTTGAGTTCTAAAATCTATGTTCATGATTCATCTTTAAACCCCCATTAGCAACTCCTGTTAACTTCAGGGAATGAATTTCCCTTTTCAACAAACTCCAGAGGTTGGGCCCAGGACACGACTTGAGCCCTTTGCAGAGGTTAAGAGCAAGTTTAAGTTCTGAAGTAAGCAAATAGCTCAGCTGCCTGCCCTGCTTCACAGCCGGGTGCTTCATTGTGTTTAGAGGCAGGAATTGTGAATGCACAATGGGGCCTTTCACTGGGCACTATGAGAATGTCCCCCTATCAATAAAACAAGCCTGCCAACTTCAGGAACGGCTTTTGTCCTCAGGATCCACTGGCCGGGTGCTTCAGCATGAAGAAGCGTAAAGTAGAGATTTTAAAAGATGGATGGCGCCTGGTGTTCAGCACAGGGATAAGACCTTTCCTTTAGAGAGAGCCCTGAAGCCTTGCCCATGCTCATACAGCCTGCAGACTGAAGCCGCCTCCGCATCCCACCTCAGCTGACCACCCAAGGACATCCCTGTGAGGTGCCTGAAGGCTGTTTTGCTTAAGGACCTAGCAGGAAAACACTAACGACACAGGATTACTATTCCTTCCCTTGCTGTGCAACACAGTAGACCCGAAGCCCTCTGCCAAGCCAAACCCTCTGTACCTGATTCATTCTTCTCAATGATATCCACCAACTGGCCCACGCACAAGCTGATCTCGGAGCTCTCCTGCTTCTGGTAGTCCGCCACCACGACATACTGCTCCAGCACCAAGGGGTCGACCGACGCAGAGTCAGCTCCTGCACAGGGGGGACAAGAACCGACCCATGTGCCAGGGTCAGCACCACCTCCCGAGAGCATGGACCACCGCTCCCGAGCACCTGCTGGCCTGCAAGCAGCTCCAGGACACCCTGGGGACCCCAGCGTGAGAGATGTGAGCCAGAGACTTGGGCAGAGTGAGGAGAGACCAAACCAGCAGCCAGGTGAGATGGGTACAACCAGGTGAGACTTTTCATTTGCTACCCACCTTCCTGCTCGCAGACAGAGCTGTCCAAGCAGCCCCACCACCGCCGCAGATGCACACAGCAGCCTGGACACCAAGGGGACTCAAGGCAGTCGTCTGTGCGCTGACAGCTGTCCCAATGCACGGACCAGTTCAGATCCCAACTCAACACGCACACAACCTGCAGCGAGTTTTGTGGGTCCTGGCTAAAGAGCCTGGACACCCAGGTGGAGGGATGTTTGTAGGACAGGGCAGCATCCCCCTGTCACCATTATCCTTATGTATTTCAGTCACCTTCCCACAGCTTGCCAGCAAGGTTTGCACTGTTATTTGCTCCGCTAACTCTGCTCAGCTCCTCCTGCTGAGATCAAAATTTAACATCAGAAAGTACTAAAAAAGTACCCCAAAGGGGAGAAAAGAGGCAAGATAGACAGGGAGCAAAGCTTTTCTCCACCCAAGAAAAGCCCGGCACCCGGAGGAGAGAGGGATGCTGCGGTCCCGGCTGCACCGAGCCCGTGCAGGCTGCGGGTGGCACTGCGAGCTAAGGCCAGGGACACCCGGGAGCACCGCCAGCCCCTGCTCGGCGAGAGACCAGCAGCGAGGCACTGCAGGGCTCGGCTGGCTTGTATTCTGCAAGCACTTCTTCATTTGGGAGGGTGCTCAGGATACAGATGCACACCCTTCACTTAGTGATGCTCGCTATGGCAGCACTGCAACAGAGGATTCCACTCGCATCAGTCACTGCTTAAGAAACATGGCCCCAAGTTTGTCCCTATACACCTGGCAAAGCCACCCTTTTCCCATACCTGCACCAAGGCTTGTGGTGTGAAGGAAGACCACAAAGTGACCGAGGGCTTTGCATGCTAACATAGCACACTCTGAGTGAGCTGAGTGCTAAGCCCAGCCTATTCAGCCCCACCAAGCTTGGTGCTCAGTCGGCTCAGCCTCCTGCTAAACAAGCTCTGGTTATCCATAACACCACCAGCACTTGCCCCGTCTGCCTCCAAAAGCCTCCAAGAAGCAAAAAGTTGTCAGAAACTCTTGCCCATGACTCCTCTCCACTGCAAGCCCTGGCTCTGGCCTCCAACCCAGCACTTTAGCTTGCAGCTTCACAACCTGTCAGACGATGACACTATTACATTACCCTGTCCTCCCCAGGTGCAGTAAGAATTAATTAATACCTGCCAAGTGCTTTGGAAGTAGGGCAGTGTTAATTATTATAGCACCAGTGATCAAGAGTCACACACCTGATCACGGGTGTGAAGTTGTATGTACAGGGGCTGTGCCTGTACTCTGAGGAGAGAGCCTCAAGCTTTGGGTTGGGGCAGAAATCACATCTGACCCAGCGCTCTAGCTGCTATAGCACAGCAGATGTACAGGACAATTACCTCCCAGTCTCTGAATGGTATGAAATTACATAGAGAGTGGTAGACCCTTTGGACAGTTAGGTGAAACGCAGCAAAGAAATTCAGGCTACATTATCAGCAACATGTTTATATGGCAAGTGCACCTACCCTGCAAGTGGACCCAACACATGAGAGGACTCAGCCTGACAAAAGATCTTTCTTAGGGGGAAATTTATTGCAGAGCATAGGTTTCCCAGTAGGAAACCTACAGTGGCACACTCATCCCAAAAGTGTATGAGTAGAGATGGACAAGATCTAGCAGGACTTCAGCAATCCTAGGATGCTCCACTGCCTCACACAGTTCTCCTGTGCACAGGGGTCACAAGCTCTCAAATTGGTTCTGAGAAAGAAAGACCACAACAAAGATTTAAATGAACAATGTATCTTCAGGGCAGTCTTATTTAAAGGAAAGAGGCAAATTGTCCATGTTATTCTGCTATAAACAGGACTCTGCAGAGTTCCAGGTGAGCTGGCCAAGTGCAGAGGATCTGTTACCGCTAATGAAAGCTTCCTCTGTACTAAAACCCAGAGGTGGGGCACCAGACAGAATTAAAAATAGCCCTCTAAAATGAATGGTGGATGCTAGGACTATCTGTTCTACTAGCTCAATTAAAGGTTTGTGCTTAAAGTGATCAGAGGATCTATTCAACCCCCTCGAGAAGAATAACAGCCACAGGAAGAGAAAAGTACTCTCTTTTCTGCCTCCCTTGCTATAATTACACTCATTGCTCTGATGCTATTTGTAGTTTCAGCAGGCAATTCTGGATGCTCCAATGTACCTATTAAACCAACAACAGAAATTGTAATCTGAGCTTGGAGGAAGATGTAGGAGTTAATTTCAGGAGCATCTTCACCTGGAATAATCATCCTCAACCACAAAACCCACACTCAAATAAACAACAAAACATCCTATATATGGGCAGACTTGGGTCTCCTAAAAATAGCAATGGTGTAAACCTTACCATCTAAGATGAGAGACAGTACTAAAGCTCTGCAGCTGGGGAGCAGAGGAAGCATTAATACAGTCCAGAGCCCACAAGAGAGTGAGTTTCGCAGACAGGTGTAGGCAGGAACACAGCCTTTGTATCGTGAACACCCCTCACTTGTGAGACTGACACAGACATGGCCTTAGAAGGGATGTACATTGGCTCATGATACCCAGAGGTCCTTAGACTGGTCTTGCAGAACTGATATTTTCTGTGGTTGCAGGAGAGGCGCTGGGGAGACAGCCTCCAGGCAGTGCACATCCCAGCTACCAACCCAAGGACTGATCAGGAAAGTGACCTGTCACATACAGGTCAGCCCGTAAATCTCTACAGGTTTTGTTTGACCAGAAACTTGGCCATTCACCCAAAGTGCTGAGATGGACAGAACCAGTAGGAAATCTCATATATATGGGGTTGCTTGTGATGTTTCTAGCCTTTCCAATCTCTGGCTTTGCAGTATCAGTGACAAAAGCCAGGACTTCGTTATGGGGTTTGGACACTGGTGCCTCCACAGGGAAACAAAGAGCTCAGGCACGGGGCATGTGGCTTTGAAGCTGTACACTCCAGTCCTTGCCTAACACATATTCCAAAGATGTAATTCTTTGGATAAAGTTTCTTCCTCCTAGTCCTCTGGCCTGTGCAAATCGGACCCAGTGTGCTTAGGATTGCTCTCTTCTCTCAGCCTCTCCCATGAGTTTGTGAAGATCAGCACTGCAAAAGTGACTTTCTCCCTGCTCTCACATGAGATGGGCAGTAGATGCTGTGCTGTATCTTTTGCGAGTCTCTCATCTCTCCAGGGATTTTTCCAGAAATGGAAAATAATCACATGGAAACATCATTCACTGCTGGAGTTTTATAAAAGTCTCCCTGTGGCTGCTGTAGGATACAAGAGCTGTGTTTTCACTGTATCTCATTAGAATGAATACTGTGGTTTGGGGGGCTTTGTAGACACATTGCATAGCACAGCAAAAGGGATGTGGCCACATAAGAAAGCATCTAAAATAAAGCTGGCAGGGGGATATTTGAGCTTTCTGCCAGCCTCCTTGGGCAGCTCCTTCCAAATACAAACTCTGCAGACAGTTTCAGGTTCCCTTGCACTAAGTGAGTGCTGCAATGAACGCACGACTGAATAGAAATGCTCAAAACAGTCTTGGGGACTGACATGATGACTGCTTTTAGATGTACCTAAATCAGTGGTGAAGTCAGTCCTCAGAATCCCAGAGACCGGGAATAATCCATCCCCCTGGAAGCTGCAGGCTGTATGGAGCCTGGGCCCACGCCTAAGACTCACAGATGTGGGATTTCAAATACTGGTAAAAAAATACTAAGCAGAGGAAACAGATTTTATTTCCAATGCTTACTCGCATTGGGCCCTCCTCACAACAGCAAATGTCACTTGAGTCTCTTCGTCACCACGGGAGGTTGAGGACAGGCAGCACTTTAACCCTCTTCGCATCCCAGTGTTTGCTTAAATCCCATTTCAAACAGGGCTTGCTGCCAGGAGCTTGGGAGGTTTTTCCAGCACTCTCTTAAGAGCAGTGCAACCCCTCTCCAGCAATGCTGGGAGAAATCAGCAATTGGGAAGTTGCTCATTTGAAAATACTCATGATTTGTGTTTGTGCACAGCTACTGAATGCCTCTTCCTCAGGGAGACCCATAATGAATGAGCTTGCTTTGTGCCTTGCTGCAGATTTGTTACCTAAAAGCAGGCCTGGCTTGAGAAACTGATGAACTTCCTCAAGGTGTAAGTGGGATCGGGATAACAGCAGCAGAAACACACTGTTCCTGCTGCCAGAAAATGCCACACAGTGAGAGGAGTCTCTGAACATGGCTGGCACGAGGCAGCAGCCCTTTGTAATGTTACTGCATGCAAACATCTTTCCCTGATGGCTACTGCACATATGACAGATGCCAGTGCAACCTGTAATGCCAGAGCAGCCCTGCCTTGGACACTTCCTAAACTCTCCCTGTTTCCTCCCTTTCAACGGTGACAAGCAAACAGCATCCCAAGGAGCATTTTCTCTTTGACCTCAGCAACATCCCTCTGTCACTTACAAACCCACCATGCCAACAGGATGGCAGAGCGAAGTTGCCCGTAAACTTGCAGTGGGAAGGCAGGACAAAGGCAGGACACAAACGGGAAAAGCTCCTGCTTCTGTAACAGCCAGCATCCTTAAATTGAATTCTGCCGTCAAAGAACTGAGTTATGCAGCAGAATATTTTTTCCTCTTCTTCTCAACCCCAGAAAGGATTTCTTTTTTCTTGCCTAATACAAGTGGACAGGATTCAAAATGATCTAAACACACACTGATCTCATAGGGAAATACAACACCCTTCCCTTACACACCAAATGTTCCTGCTGAGCCAGCACACAAGAGCTTGTTTTTAAGATGAGGGAGCTTTTATCTTTATTTTACTTCTGTTTTATCAAAAGGGAGGAGAAGGGAAAAAAATGCAGCCTGTTCTTTTCCCCACCCATAGCAAGAAGCTTCTTTCTACCTCCAAAGCTAGATGAAGACCCACCACTTTGGTTTATGGCAGTGCCAACTCTATGGCCAAAACCCTTTTCACAACCTATTTCAGCAGAATCTCCATCCAAACCTTCCTTCCCAAAGACCCTCGTGCTACCTTTTATGCCTTCTCTGGTAGCTCTGGTAGCTGAAAGATGCCCTCCCTAATCCACAGATTGAAGGCTCTTCCCCTCCCCTCTCCTCCTCTTTCTGACAAGCATAGATAACCACTAACACGCCAACTGGGGGGTCTTCCAGAGATGTTCCTCTCTTGAGGATCAGGGTTAGGGCATCGCAGACCCGACCATCCACCCAAAGGGTCCCAGCTGGTGCAATCATGAAGCAGAACGTGCTGCTGCATCAGAGGACTTCTAACCTCACGCTGGCCACCACGCAGCTCAGACCCTCCTCTGGACACGGGAAATTTTGCATCCCCATCCTCCTGGCTGCAGACCAAGCCCTTCACCCCAGACCTGTGACAGAGCCGCTGCACGTGGAGCTGTACCGACAGCCAAGCGCCAGTCCCTGCCTGCCGTACCTCCTCTCCACTACTGTCCCATGTCCACCAGCCACCACAGAAAGCTACAGGGGACGTGACAGCTTCTTGCCCACCCAGCCCGAGCAGATGTCCCGCTGGTGAAAGGCAAAGCAAGAGCAAGGGCCGGGCAGCGAGCGGCTGTTACTACCTCTCTGCAGGAAAGAGGCCGTTCTCTGGATAAACCCTGATGGGGGAACAAAAGGACGGGAGACAAGGCATGAGGTGGGGAGCGAAATGAACTGGGGGTGGCAGCAACGGTGGCAACAACTTGGTTAATGAGTGAACAGGGGGCCAGTGCAGCACAGAGAGCTGCGGGCGTCCATCCCACTTTTGGGAGCGCCACGGGATGCACAGGGGACATGGGACCAGGACTTGGAGACTGCAGTGAACTCCCGGGTGGGTGGAGGAGGCACACCATGCTGGGGAGTCCCATGGAGAGAACAGCAGGGGGTTGGCTTGCCATGGGGCCAGGCCCTTGCCCTGCTCCAGGAGACCATGGGTATGGGTGGGAGGAGGAGTTGGTGGAACCAGCGGAGAGGAAAGGATTGCTTACCAGATCTCTTCTTTCCAATGGGCTCCCTGAAAAAGAGAAGGAAGAGCGTCAGCAACGCGATGGGGCAGCTGGGTTGTTGGCCAAGTACAAACCCCCCCTGGAAGGCACAGATGGCATGAGCCTCCTCAGCCTTGGTCTGACAGCCACAAATCCCACCATGTCACTGAGTGAAGGTGGGTGGATTGGGACTGTCTGGCAACAGAGTCAGGAGCTGAGGAAGCCCAAACCCCCAAAGCTGCTCGCAGTGCAGACCACAGCTCCCACAGAAGTGGGCATCCGTCAGAAAACAGACAAAAAGGGAAACACTGAAGCTCCTCCACGTCCTGAGCTCTCAGGGACAAGAGTGAGGAGCAGTTGGGGAAGGGGCAAACATTTATACCCCAAAACAGGACAAGTCATGTAGACAAGTGTGGTAGAAGGGATGAGTACCATGGCTGTGCGCTCGAGTACCTTAAGGACACAGCAAACAGGAGATATTGGTGGCTATGAGGAGGCAATGAGGTAGCTTCAGCACAAGCCCTCTTGCTATGGCCAGCACTGGCCCCACCACTTATGAGATGGGTTAGAAACCACAGGTTGTGGGTCCCTTCTCTTATTTGAATGCTGCCAAGAAACACGGTCGCTGAACAGCCTCAAACCCAGGCACAAGCACAACTCTTCAGGCACGATGACATCTGGGTTCTTTCACAATTAAAGAACAAACACCAAATCAAGGAAGATATGGGCCCAGAAAAGCCTCAGAAAATCATGGGGAACAAACCAGGACACGCAGATGGCCTGAAACCCAAACAAGTGCACCAGCCCTGTCCGCAGCCCGACCACAGCGGTCCATGTTGCTACAAAAGGGCTCTCAACACTTTCATGTAATTCACCACTGTGGCCTTGAAATGCTGCTGTAGTGTGTGTGATGGTGGCTGCTCCCTGTTCCCTTACAGAGGAGACTGCTCTCCCTGCTCTTCAGACTCACATGCATGACAGATCAAGACCATCTGGCCAAAATGAAATATTCTGGTACAAGGAGACATGCACTTATCCTTGTTACTTCCAGGAACAGTGAAAAGCACAGAGCGGGCACTAGAGCTTCCAAGGAGGAAAACATTCACCTGGTGGGAAGGGGACCCTCCTGAGGCTCTGAGCTGCCTGGCTGCTGCTTGGAAAGGCAGCTGGACCAACCAGGTAGACCCCAGGAGCCTCTTCATCTGTTTACTGGCTAAACAGTCTTTCCTCCCCTCCCCTTTGTTTTCAGGCTAACCAAAGAAACCCGTCCACCCTCAGCCAGAAAGCCAGCCAAAGCTGGGCTATGCTTTGCTCTCCTTCAAGCTTATCTGCATTTTCAGACCATAATTACTGCAGACATTTTATTCCCCCAGAGCAATGGGGTGATGTGGGGACTTGGCTGCCTCCAAAGCCTGCCCACCCATCCTGGCAATGCATTCTGTTTACAGTGCCTTATCCTCCTGGTCTCCACTTCCCTTTGCACTTTAAACCTCTGGTACACATCCATGGAGCTATCAATAAAATTAAATGAAATGCAACAAGGATGGACTAGAAACAAATAGGACATTGTTATCTAGAAACTGGAGACTATCTGTTGAGGTCAGAGACCACAGCCTGTGCAAAGACCTAAATACCAGGTCCCGGGTACAGAGACACTGGAGGAAGCTACTGGACAGAGCATCCCAAAGACATTTCTAAACAGAGACCACATTGCAGAGCTAAACCACAGTTTATCATTAAGCTGCATTAAACTTGCCCCAGTGCAACAATATAGCAGGGCAGGGAGGTGAAGCAAGGCCAGATGAGCACTGTGGTGGGCATGGCACTCTCGTGTTGACAGGAGGGCACTGATGGAAATAACTTGGTTTTTCCCCTGCCATCTGCTAAACCTATTACTGCAATTGATCCCCCTGTTTCCTTCCCCCGGCTGCTCTGTCTGAGTGAGGGGGCAAGGAAAGAGCTGCAATTTCACTTTGCTGCTGGGTTGTTCCTGGCACAAGTACAAAGAGCTGCAGGTCTGAAGACCAGAAGCCCCAGCCCACCACCTCAGAGGGGACAAGAGGCTCAGACAAGACAGGAAACAGCAATAAACCCCCATCAGCATCTCCTCCTCCTCCATTCCCGGTGGACCAAAGAAAGGCATGCTGCAGAGCTCGCATGCAGAGCTGCCTGGAAACTCGTGGTTCCAAAGAAGAGGAGAAGGAAAGGCCACTGCCTTCCACTGTGAAACTCATTTAGCTCTTACTCCCCCAACAGCCAGGCTGTGCAAATGAACCAGGCAGTCACAGCACAGTCACAAAGCGTGACACACGGACTGTTCTTCAATGATATGTAGGCAAGCTGTTAAAACTCCTTACTGCAGGATGCTGTGGGCACTGACAGTGTTCATGGACTTACAGGGTCATAATTCAGGCAAGAAAAGTTAGTTAAAGACTGCTATTTATAAAACCAGGAGAACCCTAAAGACTACAACAGTGCCTGAAGAAGAGGTATTACAAGCTTGCTTGCTTTCCTAAGGCACTCACACTTGGTGGCTGCTAGGCCAGGCACACCTCTGTGTGCTGCAGGGAGGTGGTTCTGAGTTTGCCATGCAGAGGAACCCATCTTGCAGTGGGACTCATGGAAGGAAGGTGTCCTGACAGCCTGGGGACCTCTGCACCATCCCTGCTGCCCCACAGGTGCTCACAGAGCTGGAGAGGGGCAGCGGAGCACCAACACAAGGAAGGTAATTCCTCTTGCTGCAAAGCCAACCAGACGGGAGCCACCATCAACATGCAAGATGAAATAGATATGAAGACAGCATTGCAAGGGAACATCTCCTGAAAAAATCTAGCTCCTGTAAAAAGCCATCCTTCTGTATTGCAGTAATGTCATCAAAATAGTTATCAGGAGGTTGGTCATTTCGTAAGTATACAGCAAGCTTGGAGACATTAGCAAAGGTTATGGAGGTGAGAGATTGAGAAATGGGGTACAACACAGCTCTTGTTTGGGAAAAATGATGTTTAGCAAATGCTCCACCGAGCACTGAATAGAGCTCCTGTCCCCCATGCTGCAGTGCCAGTGCTACTACTGTGCTTAACCACTGGACAGTTGGCCAAGCTGCATCTTCAGGCTCAGAAAGCTGCCCTGCTAGCACAGAAAATCAGTTACTCTGCCTATGCAAGTGGCCTGCACTGGCACAAAGAGTATTTTTGCAGATTGGATTCAGCCCCTCTGATATTTCCATCTGCTGTCATTCCATCTCAGCAGAGAGCGAAGGAGAACACTATTTTGGGGCTAAGACATAGCCTGCATAAACTTTGCTAACCTGGTGAATCCGCAGTAGGCATCAGGAGAGCTGCAAAACAAACAATTCATTATACCAGCTGTAATTTGCCTGGATAGCAGGACATGGCTCAAAAGCCACAAGCCAGCAAGCATCCTTACTCAAACCAACATCCATCAACTCAGAGATCTCTAGCTTACCAGCAAAAGCTCCTGAAATGGCTTCCTAGATGGGGCAGCCATTCCATCTTGGATCAGGGATCTGAGCCCACCCTTCTTCCATTAAATCCCCCGTCACCTGGCCCAGGGGTTCATGCCACTATTATCCCCCAAACAAATACCACACAAGGATGACAGGGAAAACTTTTGCTCAATGACAAGGAAAGGTAACCACACAAAAAGCTACAGGGAAGCAGGAAGGGAAGAGACTCGCTGTTGGAAGATACTTGCTACAAGTTTGCGCTTCCAATCTATGGAAACAAGGGAAAGAAGCAGATTAGATCTGTTTTAATGATGGAAATACGCATCTGTCTAGCATCCTCTGTTGGCGCTTTGAACCAAACTGCAGCCCTAAGCAGGACCTTTCAGTCAGCCCCCGTGGCAGACAAGCTGGCACAGTCAGATCACATCAAGTCTGAGTCTCGTTTTAGCCCATTTCTCCCTTCTATGATTTACTGTGGCTGGTGCCTGCCTGGAGACCCTGTCATCCTGCATGCAGGAAGCAATTCATTACCCTGCCTGCCTGTGCCACCCCCACCTAACTGCACATCACCAGGATTTGGGATTAATAGAATAAGGACAGGCTGCTGGAGTCGCTGCAGGCTCAGCCTCATTAGCAGCATACTTTCCTCATGTGGTCAGGTCCCAGCTCCTTACCATGTGCCTTCCACAGGCAGCCCCCAGCACTAACAGCCCTTTGCTAACAGCAGGAATGAGTCAGGGTCCTGGGTCCTGCCCATTCTCCTTCTCCCTCCAGTGATGCTTCCCAGGGCAGGGCATGAGGCAGGGTTGAGCTGGGTTACTCCCTCTGCAGTTGGTCCTCTGCCCAGCAAACATCCATAGCAGCAGAGGTGAACTGCCCTTAAAACATCCCCAAATCCTTTCCCTTTAGCCAAGCCCTGTTTGGGAAAAATAGCAGGAAGGCAAGATGAGGGTGTGAGCTCCGAGGGTACCCACACATAGAAAGGCTCCTTAACAAGCCTTCAGAGAGTCCCGGTGCCAGGACTGCTGCCCACCCTAACCCTGTGCTAAGCCTTGGTGTGCTGTCTGAGAAGACAGGGAATCCACATCAGCCTTTCAGCCCTGGCTTCCCTCTGCAGGAGACCTGTTGGACTCAGACAAGACCAGCACATAACAATGAAGATATTTGAGAGAAGAGGAAATTCTGCCTCTTAAAGACATCAGTGACTCCTGAAGCTGGCAGCTTTCAAACTGTGAATCCACAGCCTCCAGACAGAGTGAGGAGGGGTGCTCAAGGACATCTTTAAGAAATTAAGAGATAGTAAATTTGCTTTATAGGTGCCTGTGCCCCCACTGGGGAAGAAAACAAAAATCAGGTTAAGCTAAAATGTTCAAAAGCACAACTTTACGTGTCTTACGTACGATGGGATGCTCAGCTACCTAAAACACAATGAAAGATCTTTTAATGAAAAAGGCTTCTCATGGCCAGGGTGCCTCCTGTACAGAGGAGAGCAGCTCTGCAGCCTCTGTGGAGCAGCCCGATGAGGGCTCCATCCCCAGCACACCCCACTTGTACACCATGGACAACTATTAAATACTGACCTAGGAACACTGTGGAGTTAACCTGGGCTCCTGCATGTCACAGAGCTGAAATTCAGCTGGCGAGGACAGTCAGCAGCTGAATGCCTTGACTCAGCAGTGGCTGTGTGCCCAGCCATTCAGACTTCCCCTGCCTCATTCCAGAAACTCTCTGCTGTGGCTAAAAAAGACTTTAAATTGAAAAAGGGTGGATGGGAGGTAAGGGGGTGCTGCACACAGCAACTTCCCACCTCAACAGCCAAGCGTCCTGCTGCTGGTCAGACCTGCTGAGATATGCGGGGAGGAGGAATTCGATGATTTCTCTTCTTTGAAACTACTGTTTCCATAGGGCTTTCATCCAACACCAAAGAGAAAAATCCCACATCCCCTCAGATGCTAACTTTCCGGAGCATTTCTCTTCTGCTTCTGCCCCCCACCACTGCTCTGTGAAGTCACTTCTTCCCAAATTTAGCCAATGCCTCTAGATTTCAGCCCCTCTTTGATCCATCACCTGGCAGCCCTCCAAGGTGGAAGCAGTTGACTCATCCCAGTCCAGAGTTTGCTGGACAGGGATCCATGTCACAAAAGCCACTGATCATCACTGCCAGTGGAAACATCACAACCTCAATCTGCTCTCCTGTTTGAAGTGACTTGGCTTTGTTGGTGCTCCAAACACCAGGAAAGGGACACTGAAAGGAGCTGCACTGTAGGAAAGCAGGAGAGCCCTGGCTCAGCTCAGAAAGAGCTCCAGAGCTGGAGAAAGCAGACATGACAGGGGCCTGAACACAGATGCGTGGGCTGTCCGGCCTTCTCTTTCCATTCCCAAACACTGCCAGATCCAAGGACTAAATTCACCCTTTGCAGTTAAACCAGAGCTCCACAGACTACAGTCAACTGCAAGCCCTGAATGTGGTTTGACATCCTGGGGTGATATGAGTTGGATGGGTCCTCTACCTGCACCCCAGACAAAAACAAGCAGAGGGTGCCTCCAACAGCACTAAAGGATGTTCCCTTCAGTGGCACCAGCTGCAATTCCCATGGGTGTGCTGCGACTCGAGGTGTCAGACAGGAAAGCCGAGGTGAGGGATGGGGAGTAGGAAGGCTCCCAGCCGTGATGCCATGAGAGCGGCTGCCTGGCTTGGCACCGAGCATGCTGACCAGTCCTTTTTCCCTCCCTCATTCCCGCCTTTCAGCCATCCAGCATGAAACGCTGCCTTTCCTTTTTCACTCCGCTCATGGCCTGGCTGCCTTTCAAATTCCCGGAGAAAAGTATTTATCTGCCGGATGAATGATGATATCCGGCCAAACCCCAGACACGCCATCGCGTCGCATCCAGCCCAGCCGTCTATCACAGCTCTCATCTCATTATTGGTAAGGTGGCGGCGAGCCAGCGCTCGGAGCTCGGGAAAGGGCTCCCACCAATCTTGCCAGAGGAGAGAGTCAAGGACTTTTATTAATTAGCATTTTGAATTGTAGCTAATAAATACCCCTTTGGCATTCAGGCTGGGATAGGAAATGCAACAGAGATGTCCTTGAGATGCTATAGCATTTTCCTGCTGGAGGCAAAAGGACAGGAGTCACCCGCTAAGTCATTCTACACGCTGTGAGCTTGCCTCTCCTCCCTGGAGAGGAGCAAGCAACAGGAGGGAATATGAACACCACTGGATCCAGTGATGCATCATCCACTCTCCCATCCAGCACTGCACTGCTCAAACACTCACAGACACACAGCAAGTTTGCAGTGAGGGCAATTTTGCATCTCGGAGCTGCTCAAAGGACACTGTGGGATGTACCTGAAGACAGACGCCACAAGGCAAGCACATCCTTGGGGTTGGAGTCTGGGCTGGTACCTCTGCTCCCCTTGTCTGTCAGACCCAAACCAGGCAGACAACAAGGGCCGTGGCACTGATCACTGCTTGGTCAGACATCCAGGAGCTACAGCTTCGAACACAGCAGAGCCCAGAGCTGCACCACTCTGGGCCTGACACTCTGCATGCAAAGGTCTCCACATCTGAATCTGCTCCTTGTTCTGGCCACAGTCCCCACCCCATCTGATTTCTGGCTCAGTCTACAAGACAAAATATAGGTGAGGAAAGTGCATGCCAGGCTGGAGCTGCCCTTCAACCCACCATGTATGAAGGTGCCCCAGCTACCGGCAGGTTCAATAGCTGACTCCTTTTGCAAAGCAGCTCACCCTCCCATTGCACAGGGCTCAAAGACTCATGCACAGACAGCCTCCAACACCCCAAAAAAGCCCCAGGGACTGTTAACACCATGATAAACACCTACCCGATGTCCTTGCAAGCTCATCTTTAACTTGTGTCTCTTGCTTGTCCTAGAGCTGCTGCCTTTGCTAAGGGATGACTGACTGGGTGGCAGGTTAAGTGGTGAGCAATAGCAGGACAGATGACAGCGCCAGGGGACAGAAAGCAATCAGTTAATGGGCTCCAAGGCCCTCAGACCAATCTCATCAAGTGATCAGGAGCTGCAGCAGGAATGATGACAGGTCAAGCAAATAGAAACAGAAGCCAAAGGGGGAAAGCCGGAATGGGGAAAGGGGGAATTAAGAGAGGGAATGGAAAATAAATGAAAACCCAGGGAGGAGATGTAGTCCACACAATCGTAATACTTAGCTGGAGAAAGGCTCAGTGTTGCTGCTCAGAGGAGAAAAACAAAATCCCTTTATCTACCTCCACACCCTTCTAATACAGAATGATGTCAAATCAATTTACTGCCTTTCCTCTCACAATTAATCAAGCCTCCTCCATTGCTCAACCTTTGGTAGAGCTGCGCATCATGTCACATGCAGCATAAAAAGAGAGAGCACATAGCAGGAGATGGAGGCGGCTGATCAGATTTATGCTGCTTGTGATTAGTAAGAGATGGGTGGCTCCTGGCCAAAGTAGCTCATAGTCACAAGACTTATAACCACACAGAGTTGCGTAAGGCACGCGAGATTCCTTGCAAATGTTCCTTGCTTTGCATGGAAAGACTCCGGAGTGTTATTATAGATGGGGCTCATGGACATGGTTAAGGGCAAGGGCCTTTCAAATGAGGCAGAGGTCATTAGCAGCCATGTGAAATGAGGCTTCTCAGACTAATCATGTTTCTGAAACAGGCATTACAAACAGAAAGTGGCACAGGAGGAGACCAGCTCTTCACAGGGTCCCAGGTAATTGTTTCCACTTCCCCACTGGAGAAGGCTATACCAAGAGCTGGCTGAATAGATTGAGGTGTCCACCTTGAGCTGCACAGCCCCATTCCCTCCCCAAGAAAGTCTCCAAATCCCAGACCTGTGACTCATGGAGGGAACCGCTGATGAACATCAGAGTCTTACAGATACCATCAAGTTTGAGGCAGCTTGTGTTCCATCACCACCCTGGCAGTGGCAGCCACCCAATCAACTTACTCTTTGGGGGGCGTCAAATCATCGGGTCTTGTCTCAAAGAACTGGAGAACCTCCTCGCACTGGGAGATGTAGGGAGGCAACTGGATCAGAGCCTGTGGACGAAACAGATACACTGGTGATGGGAAGCATCAAGACTGTGCAAGGAGCTGAGTGAAGACAGGCCTTCAGAGCGCAGGAGACTGGATCATGGCACCAAGCTCAGCACCCATGTGGTTCCTGGCACACAGAAGTGTGGAGCCAGGCTGGGAAGAGCTACAGCAAACACACACTGAAGTGGAGCAACACACAGACAGCCCCAAGTAACACCCACCATACCATCCCTGCTGCAACTGAAGACTAAAGGAGAATAAGGAGAGATTGCCCAGGCCCTGCTTAGCCAGCTCCATCCTTTCGGATGTGCGTGCCTTCACAAGGTAAGAGCCATGGGGACATCCATCCCAGCATCCAGCCTCCCTGCCATTACAGGGTTCAGTTTCCTAGCCGTGCTGTGCATATGGAGCCATCAATCTTGGGAAAGGCTGGGCAGTTTACACATTGCAGGCTCTTAGTGGCGTCAGCCTTGACCAGCACATCCCAAAAATGTTCCACTGGGGGATGGCAGCTCAGGAAGAGACAGGGAGAGAAGCAACAGGAGACAAAAGTGCAGATACCAGCCTGTCATGGCAAGGGCTGCAAACTGAACCACCACTCATTTCTATATCAGAGACAAAGCCACATCTGCAAAGCCCTGGGGTTACCACACAGATCAGATGTGGCTCCATGTTGACCTAATTGCATGCCCCCAAAAGCCCTTCCAGCCATTCAGCACACAGTCATATCCACTGCCAGCACAGCAGACAGTCAGACCACTAATCACAGGCCAGCTGCGATCAAGATCATGTGAGAGGCAGGAGAGAGAAAACTACTCAATCCATGGCTTTTAGGGCCAGGGAAGGACTATTCAAAGACCAAGTTTTGCATGGATGCCATTCCCATGTGGGTACCATTCCCCAGTTCCAGGCATCCCATAAGCTACACAAATAGTGTGACATCTGTCCCAGCTCTGGCTCTGCCACCCAAAGATGTGAACTGGTAGTGCCTTCAGAATGCAACTTTAGGCCCTGCTGTTCACAAGCCTGAGGAGAAAGGTCATTTACCAAAGACCGACAAGCCTTATTGCACTGAAATCCACTGTCTATAGAGTCAGAAGGATTATTCCCTACTAGCACTTCTTTTATTGGTCCACCCAGTCGTGTTGAGATAGGACATCACAGCATTGCAACTCTTTCATCAAACCTCCAACTAACATGTTCTCAAAATCTTAGCCAGGAGGAAGGCCATTTTCACACTAAGGGAAAGACTAGCAGATGTAGAGCATGAAGAGAATAAACCGGAGAAATGGGAAGAAATTTCAGACCTCCACTCCGCCTTATTCCTCTAGTTGTTTGAAGTCTCATTTGGCGCTAGGTGCTCTTACCAATTGGTCTGATTCTTCTACTGCTCTTCTTGAACCTTTCCTTAAATTGCCACGTTTTTCAGTGCAGTGGGACCTGGAATAGAGCCCTTCAGCAGCAAGAGCACCGCCTTGTGAAAGCAGTGGGTCCCTGCCTTGCTCCTCGCTCCTACTTGTACCCCAAATCTTGCCCACCTTATTTCCAGGTCTCTCCCAGAGAAGAAGACACACTACTTCTCTTGCAGATGGCAAGAAAGCAAAAACTTTCTTACACAGCTTTCTGTGGGAACCTGTTCACAACATATTCACCCAACCCCTCAGCAGGGCCAAGCTGGAGGAGGTATTTTGTATTTCTGTTCTACACCATCACCCTCCAAACATCGATTTCCAATGAATAACACGGCAGTAAGAGCGTGCCCAGGACCCTGTGGCTGCCCTCTGCAGCCCACTGTGCCCTCCAGGGACATGTCTCTGCTCCTGCTCCTGCTGACTCCTTGCTCATTCCACTTCTCTGCAGCCACCAGTCTCACACCCACCTTCAGCTCAGTAGCTTTATGGTTAAGTAGCAGCAACTGGAAGACCAGGCAGAGTGTGCATGTCATTACTTGGTAATGCATTAAAAGGAGGAGATAGAGGCTCCTTAAGTGGGTCATATAACATCAGCCATTACATTCAGTTGTTAAGTCAAATGGATTCATTATATTTTATGCCATTAATGGCATCATTCTGAAAGAGACAGCTGCAGTATCTTACCACTTAGGGAGTTCTTCCCAAAATTAAATTTACAGTTGTGTGCATCTATCTGTATGTAGCTGGCACATTTTAGTGATTCAGAAGACAAGGGGCTGATCATGCCTGGCTGGAGCCAAGTGGTTACTTGCACCATCAGCTTCCCCTATGCAGTATGGAGCACACAGATCCAAGCACATCTTGCACTACACCTCCATCACTCTGCTCTCATTTGCTATCTTGGCCCGCAGTGGTTTTCACCCGCAGGCTGACTGCAGCGCTGTCAAGATGCGTTTACTAATTCACCTTTATCCTTGTACTTATTATTCCAGCCATGACATCCCTTCCATTGGTTTGGCTGATTCCCAAAACCCACAGTCTCTCCCACCACACAAAGCCCATCCTCCCAGCACTGGTACACCATTATATATTATCAGTCAACCAGGACTGAGCCTGATCAAGGTGGCTTCATCATTGGTTGATGCTATAAACCTCCTCTTACCTTGCAGTACTCATCAATGGGTATCAGGCGCTTAACTGCAACATCACGAATGTGACTCCGGCGGAACAGGATCTTCCCTTAAACAGGAGAGATGGAAAGAGAAGAGCAGGTCAGCACAATACCCAGGAACACTCTGTTGAATCACTCTGCCAGGACCTATTCCCTGTGCATGTTCTTCTTGCCAAAAGCCCAGTACTTGAAAAAAAAAACCCAACATTCCCTCCCACAGATTAAATACCTTATCACAATAAAGCACATTTAAAGCAGCAAGCATGCTCAAGGAGAGCAGAGGAAACAATTGCCAGCAAACTGCATCCCCGTCTTCTCTCACCGACGTAGCGATGATGGAAGAGCAGGAGCTACACAAGCATGTGCCTGATACCTTACAGTCTGCTGGTATGCAAGTCCTCTGTGTACAAGTCCAGTGGCAAATGCCAGCGCTTGCCAGAGAAGTGGACATCCCTGTGACTCTGGTGGGACCCTTGTTGCAGGGCATCTGGGTCTAGTGGGGGCAGAAGCCAAGCCAGAGGGTTTCTCTCTGTGAAACTCCGGCATCGAACTGGTCCTCGAAGCCAGCGTTGGGACTGCAGCTCTGAGTCAGACCTATAGGATTTTCCTTCCTGTCTGGGGTTTATTTGTGTTCTCCATTAATGGGATCCTCTTGCCCACTCTATTTCCTCCCCTCTGGCTTGTGGTACAGGCCTCTTTCCTTTGAAGTCTAATGAGTCCTAAATGCTTCAAGCTGCTTTCACAGAGAACAGATTCTCTGGCACTTAATGAGACTAAAGCCATTAGCAGACAGTGAAACTGGTATATGATGATCAAAAGGACTGGTATCTGGTAGGATTTCAGACCCAGCTTCCCAAAGCACCAGGAACTGGCACTGCTTTTCCAATACAATCACCTGGAAAATAGTGGGTTTGGGGGTGGGTTGGCTGGTAATGAGATTCCCGCAGTTCCTCCCGATATCTTCTGTACCATGGGAAAGTCTCATCTCTTTTTGTCCCTACTTGGGTTTCCAGTTCCACCACCAAACCCAGGGAGAGCAACTGATGTGGTTGTCCATGCAATCCCTTCACTTATCACTGAGGTCACCATAGGGCAACTCAGAAACCAAACTCCCCTCACAACCAAATACCAACAAACCCTCTTTGCAAGCAACATGGGAACAAGGAAAAGAACTCTGGAGAGTCACACAGCCCTTGGATGCACCATGGCTAGTTTCAGCTCTACAGCAAACCACTGCAGGAGCCATGGCATTGCTGGAGCCAGAGGCTGGATGGTACCAAGCTACCCAAGAACAGGATGTGGTAAAATGGCAGCACACTTATCACAACTTTAAAACCAGGGCTGGGTCACTCCCCTGCTCCTCCCTCACTTGTCCAGGATCCGGAACACGCATGACTTGTGCATCCTGCCAATGCATTTTTTGAGCAGAGATGAACTAAGCCAACCCAACTTCAGCTTGCAAGGAGCATGAATCAGAACTTTATAGAGGAGCCAAATCTCCTGCTAGGCTCAGTTAATGCAGAATGCCTTCAAAACTGGACTGTCCAAGGAACACACAGCAATCATACTCAGTCCTAGCTCTGAGCTTGCTCTCCAGTGAAAAGCATAGGGTCAGACCAGCTCATACCAGAAGGATTGCTTCTCATTTATGTGCTGTTGACAGCGAGGGCCTCAGACATTCATGGTGGGAAACACTCTGCTCTGAAATGCTTTCCCTCTCTCAGGCTGCCAGAGCCAATTCTGGCAGTGTTTATGATACAGTGAAAATACCCCTCTATTCTATCTGTCTTTTAGATTTGGAGGGTGAGTAGCCTGGGAACACAGAAGTTGTCTGGAAAGCCTGGGAGCAACAAGCAGGTCGGAGCTCCTTTGTTTGCCTACACCAATTATTTTCTATCAGACAAGCAAATGATCAACAGTTTTCCCTTCTCATCAACAATCGTGGTGTATTTGCTGCCTACTTTTCCATTTGAATGATGATTTTTGAAAAGATGAATGGATCACAATAGTTTTGTTGGCAATTGTTTAAGGAATGGCTGTTTTGCTTTCATGTCTGCCAAAATTAAAACGCTAATGGGTGGGTGCATTATAAATGTCTGAAATAATAAGCTCTGGGTGTGGGAATATTTAAATGTTCAACAAACAGATGCTAGTGGGTAACAATAAAAAGAATATATTTTTGTAGAATAAATATATCACAACAACTGAAGTGATCTTACATTAGCCCAGACACAGAACATATGAACCAGCAGGAAATCCAGCTCTTCTCTTGATTTGCTCTAGACCTTGTATTTTGTGATAAGGAAGTTTATTTTCTAACAAAAAGCTGTTCTTTAATCAAAATGCCTAATTAACATAATTTCAGACCCTTCAGTGCTGCCAAATACACTATATAAATCATTGAGTGGCAAGGCAAGAGAGCGCAGGAAAATACTTCCCTCTTGGAATGGAAGATGAGCAACTTGCTGCATCAGTGAGATGCAGTATTTTCCTAAGCACGTTTTCCTTAGACCACATCTGCAAATATGTGCTGTCCACTAGCGCTTTTCACATGGCCAAAGCCCATATAATGCAAGAGATATGACCATATAATGCAAGAGATATGACCATATAATGCAAGAGATGCATATAATCAGAGCGGTGGATGTGGTCTACCTTGACTTCAGCAAAGCATTTGACACAGTCTCCCACAGCATCCTCACAACTAAATTGAGGAAGTGTGGACTGGATGATCAGGTAGTGAGGTGGACTGCGAACTGGCTGAAGGAGAGAAGCCAGAGAGTTGTAGTCTATGGGGCTGAGTCTAGTTGGAGGCCTGTAACTAGTGGAGTGCCTCAAGGGTCAGTACTGGGACCGGTATTATTTAATATATTCATCAACGATTTAGATGAGGGAATTGAGTGTACTATCAGCAAGTTTGCTGATGACACTAAGCTGGGAGGAGTGGCTGACACGCCTGAAGGCTGTGCTGCCATCCAGCGAGACCTGGACAGGCTGGAGAGTTGGGCAGGGAATAACTTGATGAACTATAACAAGGGAAAGTGTAGAGTCCTGCATCTGGGCAGGAACAACCCCAGGTTCCAGTATAGGTTGGGGAACGACCTGTTAGAGAGCAGTGTAGGGGAGAGGGACCTGGGGGTCCTAGTGGACGACAGGATGACCATGAGTCAGCACTGTGCCCTTGTGGCCAAGAAGGCCAATGGCATCCTGGGGTGTATTAGAAGGGGGGTGGTTAGTAGGTCGAGAGAGGTCCTCCTTCCCCTCTGCTCTGCCCTGGTGAGACCCCATCTGGAATATTGTGTCCAGTTCTGGGCCCCTCAGTTCAAGAAGGACAGGGAGCTGCTGGAGAGAGTCCAGCACAGGGCAACGAAGATGATGAAGGGAGTGGAGCATCTCCCTTATGAGGAAAGACTGAGGGAGCTGGGTCTCTATAGTTTAGAGAAGAGGAGACTGAGGGGTGACCTTATTAGTGTATACAAATATATAAAGGGGGAGTGTCACGAGGATGGAGCCAGGCTCTACTCGGTGGCAAACAATGATAGGACAAGGGGTAATGGGTACAAACTGGAACACAAGAGGTTCCACTTAAACTTGAGAAGAAACTTCTTCTCAGTGAGGGTGACGGAACACTGGAACAGGCTGCCCAGGGAGGTTGTGGAGTCTCCTTCCCTGGAGACATTCAAAACTCACCTGGACACATTCCTGTGTAACCTTATCTAGGTGTTCCTGCTCCGGCAGGGGGATTGGACTAGATGATCTTTCGAGGTCCCTTCCAATCTCTAGCATACTCTGATACTGTGAGAAATGCGTGACATCATTATTCATCCCATATCTGCACCCCTCATTGCTGCAGCTCCAGGTAACACAGCAAAGCCAGTGGTGCTCATCACTCACACCTCATTCTAAGTGCTCTCTATTTTACACTGCTTTGCTGCCTCCAGGAGCTTGTAACAACTCTAAGCTCAAAGCTGGGTTACTGCCCTGCTAATTGTCCAGGAGGACTCTCTTCCTTCTGTCCACAGCATATACTTGGTCAAGACTGGACCAGATTGAGGTCTAGTATTCTATAGTTCATACCAAAGGAGAGGAGAAAGTTCAGGATTACCTCCTCCAGCAGAAAAGACGGAAAAGTCTCTTGGATTTGATTTTCCAAGGTAAGGTTTCCCAGTCGGCTGAACTGTTCACTCAGTAAAGCTGCAGCATGACAGACGCAGAGTGACAGCAAATGGGGAGCAATCTCAGTTGCCTTTGTAGTAACAAGCAAGAGCAAGGACAGCCTTGGTGCAGTTTGGATCCTTGACTCCTGGATGCAATAGCAAGATTTGCTCCATTATGAGAAAAATAACTACCAGCTCTACTTTTTCTTTAAGAACATCCTCAGACAAGACTTACTTTACTTCTAACAGCCTCATAGCAGTGCTCCTGCCCTCAGCTTCAACATCAGCATGAGGAATACCAAGAGGAAGACATGTGAAGGAAGGCAGTTGTGGACATCTGGCCGATTAGTGGTGTTTTCCATTGGCAGGTAGGGCCAGGGCTGCTGCAGCTTTCAGCTCACCAGCTTCACACTCTTGCCACAACTCAAGCATTCAGAAATGATTAGATTTTGTTATCTACATACCTAATGTTACCCATGAGCAATCACAGCACTTAGTCTTCCTCCAGGCTAGCACAAGAAAGCCAAGGCACAAGGAAGTGCGGTAAAATACAGTGTCCTTTGTACACACAAAGCAAGCTACAGAGACTGAACATTTATCACCTGGGAATGTGTCAAGTGAGTTGATTTTGGAAAAAGAAGACAGAGATAAGGCACTACTACAGGATCGCTGCCCTGGCACGTCTCCCTGCGCGAGAAGCACCCAGACGCCAGGACATGCTGCCTGCTTTTTCTGGATCTTGAAAACCTGTTAATGCTTACAGGGAAAAAGTGGTGTCTCTGAGGAGAACGGCTCTGAAGACACTCAGTGAACAAGTTACAATTTAGGAAGTGCTCTTCCTTCAGTAGAATATACAACACTTATTTCAGTGCATATATTTGTTATGTATTATATTTATACATATTTAAATA